AGTTTATACATTAAATAGATCAAAGAACTCAAAGTAAGAAGGAAAAAAATTAAAGTAGAGTAGAAAAGTAGAATGCAAGAGAAAAAGAACATATTAATAATCAGATACAATAGCTAATTAAAAAACGTTAGTGAAATACTAACGAATATAATTTAAATTATATATTACGGAACTATCTAATACCCATTTAGTTCCTCTGTATATCTAGACCTTAGGATTCTAAACTAATTATGACCAAGCTGCCCTGATTACGTCCTGATTGGCCCTGCCAGTGATTATTGTGATTATGCCCTGATCACTCTGCTCACGCTCTGATTGGCTTTGTCCGTGATCATGATGATTATGTCCCGATCACCCTGATCACCTCCTGACTGGTTGACCTTATCTATTCTAACGATTGGCTGAGCGCGTTCCGCGCCGCTCGTACTGTCTGACCTGCCCGTTGGCTTAACTGTGACGCACAGCAGTAACTGCGATATTATATATCACCTATCCTTGAGTAGGTTATCTTCTTAATCTTACCTGTATACACTCAGACATACTAGCCTTGTTTTCTCAATGTCTGAAAGCTAGGGCATTTGCCAAAAAAAGGAGAAATGTTAGTCAGTTTACTTACCTGCCAGACCAAATGGACAACCTGCTGTTTCGGTTGCCATGAGTAACTGTTTGTTGACATTCACTTCTACCCCTTTTTCGCCTCCTTTCCACCCATTTCAAAAGGGTTAGGGTTGTACTGAGCTGGTGACCCCTGATCCCTGATCCTATGCATCTTTGAGCAATACGTGCCAGCCTGTCGACATTCGCTGACACATTGTGGCTCTGTTTGATTTTTTTTCCTGTGGCCTGCAAGCTTTTCAAAAAATGTAACAACATGGTGATGGCACCAGGATACTGCTGCCGACATTACGTGGACGAAATCAAGCACCGTCCAATCTAAGTGTTGATAATCCCAGGCCCACCCTGTGGTCGGATGCTTGTTAGGTAATGTCCCTCGTCGCGAGAAGGCGAGCCGGCTTGGCGTTGCTGTCTCGACTTTCTTGGCTCTGATCCACCATAGTTTTTCTCGAAGGACTGACAGAAGGACTTTTTAGGACAGAGTGAACAGCAAGAATGCTATATAATGATCAAAGTCTAAGCCGAGTGCGACTGCTATTTTCTCTTCACCGTATCGCCGGTCCCGTGTCCGTGTCTCTCCCGCCTTATCACCACCTGTATGGCCGCCCAGCAACACTCTTTGCCAACACCACTCCACCATATGGACTTCAGACTGGCTGCACGCCTGAGCATTCCCCCCCAAGTGATTCAGCCTCCAGAAGCAGAAAAGGGCAAGATTTCACGCTGAACGCCTTTGGCTCTCTGTCTCTTGCCCCTTAGCCCGGTTTGTCTCGAGCCAAGAGAGAAACAAGAAGAACAAACAGCAAAATGCACGTCTTCATCAACGGGGCCTGCCCTTGGCTCAACCCCCATCTTCGCAAGTTCATTCTCGACCATGTCCCCGACGCCATCTTCTATGATAGCTTTGAGGACTTTCCCAATGAGCCCCTGGAGGAGTCCTTTCAGTACCTGGACGGCTGGGAGATTGGACGCAACTTTGCAATTCTCAACAACTCCAAGAACGGGCTGATCAACGCCTACCCATCCAGCGACGCTTTGGCACGCAAGGACTACCTCGCCAGGGTGGTCGACTTTTGGCGGGCAAAGAGACCCGAGAGCAAACTGCCCGACCATGTTCCCCTCACTGTGAGGCTCTCGCTTGACTACGCCGAGTACGTAGACGAGTCGCTCACAGCGGCCGACGATCTGACCTTGCTGTACTCGCTGGAACAGAATGAGAGCCGCGAGCCAATTGAGAGAGACTGGTGGATTTTGAAGCCGGCGCTGATTGATTGTGGCGCGGGAATCCGAATCTTCAGCACTGTGGAGGAATTGGCTAGTCACCTGGAATTAGCCGAGTACGAGTACACTGACGACGAGGAAGAGGAAGAGGAAGAGGAAGAGAGGGAAAAGGAAAAGGAAAAGGATGGCGTCTCGCTGTCGTTGCCCGGACTGAATGCTTTGGACGCGTTGGTCACAACCATCAGCGGGTTTGGGCTTGACGAGAAGAAGGCGCAGGGTGGGGGCAAAGGCGACCACAAACGAGTGCAATACGTCTTCAAGAAGGACGGACGGATTCCTTCGGCACAGATGCGGGAGTTTGTCGCGCAGCAATACATTGTCCGCATACCACCAGTTGAGGGCAAGAAGTGGCATGTCAGGGCGTACGTCTTGGCCATGGGTCGTTTGAAGGTTCACGTGTTCCGAGAACTACTCGCTCTTTTAGCCTGCGAGGACTACCAGCCCCCATGGGAGAACCCAAGCTTGCGGTCGAGCCTCACCAACACGGCTCTCCAGGATGAGGATGAGTTTGTCAGCAACGAGTCCATGAGAGACTTTTGGTCGGACGCAGTGCCCGAGAAGCTGTTGGGGGATGGGTGGAAGGAGGGCGTCTGGGACCAGATATGCAACGTGACAGCGGAACTGTTCAAGGCTGCTGCGCACACCATGGCTGATAAGTTCAACACGGTTGGCAAATCGTTTGAGCTTTTCGCTGCTGACTTTTTGGTCGATGACAACGGAAAGGTGTGGCTGTTGGAGGTGAACGAAACACCGGCCTTTTACAACCATGACAAGGCTGGAGAGTTGGCGCTTCGGCTGATGGAGAGCGTTGTGTTTGCTGCAATGGAGCACATGGGCAAGGCGCGAGCTGGGGATGGGAAGTTCGATGCTGTCAAGAGTCGATTTGTCAAAGTGTTGGACGAAACCACAAACCTGCCTAAGAGTCAGATTACAGAAATAAACTGTTCTTGAGAGAGTGGGGGTTACGCTAGATCTCGATGCTTTGGATACCTGTAAATAAAAATAAAATCGGTGTTTGAGCTCGAGCCATCTTTGAAACGCAAGGAGGTGAACTGGAATGTTTTGTTGACAAAATCACCTGTGGATGTCTCTGAGTCAAGCTGCTACGAAGTCTGATTGGTGCAGCATGTGATGCTGTTTTGTGTTTTATTTGTTCGACGCAAGGGATTGGCTGCCGAGCACACCCTGAATTCGCACCTCCGAACGAGAAGAAATTTTTGCGCCCGGAAATATCAGTTCTACACGTCGCATCTCTCTGTTGTGCATCTTTTGGCAATTTCAATTACATCTTTTGGATTTTACCTTATCTACCTGACTTAATACATGTAGGTGCTGCAGTGCACAATGGCAAAACCTGAGCCCATGGAGATGATCCACGAAACTTGTTTTAAACCGAGGACGCCGGTCATGGTTGGACCGGCAGCTGAAATCATGATGTTTACTGTCAAGCCGAAAAACAAGACTACTCAGGACCGTGACGTGCCCATGGTTCAGCCAGGACGGTCCGCCTCCATGAAAGCTGCCATCACCAAAAAGACGAGCGTCCGGATACGGAACTGGGTGAAGAGATCCAACAGCAGCGGGTATGCAGACGACTAGTACTACCGGTCCACAGCGGAAAGTTATTTTGCTGACACGACATCACATCAGAGAGATAGTTTCTAGAGGCCCAAACAGTTCGTGGCCAGAGATCACGCATCTTGGCGGTGGCCGTGTCAACGACGAGCAAAATCCCATCACTGAGCCGAGCCCTATACCGCGAAGCCGAGCAGTCTCTGCGGACAGTAGGCGAACTCAGTGGCTCGACTTTTATTCGCAAGATGTGACATGCTCGCGGCTGCCATCAGCAAATCCGCCACCGAGACAAGCATCCTTGACGGGGATACGTCCTCCTGACAGGGATGCTGTCGACCTCCGTCCCCTTCCGCTTCGAGTTTCGTCACTAGAACGGAAAGGCGAGCCCTCCCCGATGCTGACACGGAAAGGCTCCATGTGGAAGGCGCTTCCAGTTCTCCCTTCTCAAAAGCAGAACGTGGACCTGTCCACTGAGTCTGCAGATGTTGAAAAGCTGATGGGAAAGATCATGCTGGACAGCCCCTCGCTGCCGACAGGGAGTAATGACAAAACTGCTACCCAGGCGCTTGATCCCAGAACCATACTCCCAAATACCGTCTATACAGCCACCCCGGTGACAGGGCTAAGAACGCCGCCACCGACACCAGATAGTGCAAGCGGCAGCACAGCAACGGCGATTACCATCACCAGACCGATGGGCAGCGATAGCACCGAGGAACTTCCGGCCCGAAAATACTCGGTACATCTCTCTCGCCCGAAATACAGTCTCCAGGAGCGCATGTGGCTCCATCGAAACTACCGTGGCGAAGCACCCTTCCTCGCAGCATGGGGACTGGATATTGCTTCTCAGCAGGATCGAGAGGAAGGTGTGGGTATAGTGAAGGAGTTGATGCTGGAAGAGAGTAAGAGACCAGGGTAGATTTATTTTGATAGTTTAGCTAACTATGCACCTGCTAGAAGCTAGGAAAAGGAAACCAGTTGTGAGGCTTCGAGATGAGAAGTGAGCAGCTACATGTGACCACTTTCCAATATTGTTTGCAAGTCGCTTTGGCGGAGTGGTTAACGCGCGCCCCTGCTAAGGGCGTTCCTTCGGGAGCGTAGGTTCGAATCCTGCAGGCGACGATTTTTTTGGACCCTTACCCTAGGGTACCCCGCTGTTCCCAACCCCCCACCAGCCCCTCGCCACCAGCCCCGCGCCAGCCTCGACAGACAGGGGATTGTTTTGTTACTTGTGCTCAGCTAGCTATGGGTTTGCCCCTTGGTGCTTTACATATGCTGCATCACGCGACCACTTCTCTTTTGTCATGGCGGTATTGTCCTGGCAGAAGCCTTTGCATTGTCAATGACCTTGGTCAAGGCAGGCACGGCAGCGACGCTCTCGGCCCAGGCAGGGTACAAATGCGCAAAGGCTATCTGGGCCTCGTTCCAAGATCCGGGGGTGTAGGTTACCGGGCGAGCTGAAAAGGCCTCCCCGGTGGGATCTGTTATCAGCCCCCATATGTGTTTGTTGTCCTCGTCTGCAGAGTAGTAGAGCTGCGTCATCTGCTGGAGCAGATGGTTCATCTTTTCGGCCAAAAGGCTCTCGTTGTTGTAAAAGTCGACAACGGGTTGGTTGTCCACCACGTTGCCTGCGCACTGGTACTTGCCCTTGAGGACGGACAGGATCTCGTCTCTTGTCGGGGTAGGACTGTCGGGGTAGGACTGCCGGGGGGTGTGGTCTCCCGCAGGCGCATGATCCCTTTGAGGTTTTGGAGCAGGTGAAACTTGATTAGGTAGAGGGTCACGACGGGCGTGAGCTGGAGAAAGCAGGGGCACCACAAGTCGACATGCCCGGTGGCGTCGACATTCTTGTTGTCCAGAAAGGGCTGGGAGAGGTCGGCCCAGTCAAAGCCCTTTTGGGCCGTCCTGCGCCCGCCAGTAGATGAGATCATAAGCTTCTTGGTCCTGGTCAAAACGGATGAACAAGCCCGGAACCGAGTCTCGAGCGCCCTGGTTATCGGGGCGATTGCGGTGGAGAATGTCGAGATACTGCTTCAGCGAGTCCTCGACTCCCTGGCGGCGCCATGAGCGGACCAGTAATTCGCCATAGAGGAACTTCGCCTGGAGATAGGGACGGAGGTGGACATGGCGCCAGAAGACACCATTGACGTTGGGGTCGTCCAATGGGAGCAGCCCCCTGCGAGCACGAATCTTGTCTCCTCGGCCTGGACCCCCTTGGGCTTGGCGCTGATTTGCTTGCAGGTGGGTTTGTGGGTTGGCCAGTCGAGGGTCTGATAGTCGCGCGTGCAGTAGTGAGTAGACGCTGCAGCCAGAGCAGCGCATGAGGCTGTCTGCAGACCTCGCAGTGTTTGGGTATCATTTTGGGAAAGTCCTTTTTCAGGTCTTCGTGGAAGACGATGCGACGAGGGGCAGCCATTGCAATTGGCTGATGCAGGTCGGGAGGCGATCGAATCGAGGACGGTTGGTTCTTTGGTGATAGGCAGATGGGCGGTGAACTGGCACACTGGGAGGTGGGAGGAAGAATTGACGGAACGAAACACGAAAGCACGCGACAACCCCGCGTAAAAAAAAACTAAAAATCAAAGTCAATTAAAATCGAGAGAGGTACGCAACCCAGTGGAGCCCCCAGAGCCATCAGAACCGCCACCCACGCCTATCAATGGCCAATGCCAATGGTGAAGGACAACTCGAGTTTGAGCGAGCAAAGAGAGAGAGGAGACAATGGAGACCGGCCGTTGACTTTGCCAGGGTCTGGTTGGGTCCTGATGCACCATGCACGAACCCTGCGACAACGCATCCATCGCATGCACAGCAGCAACGAAATAGAGGGCAGCCTCAATGCCCAATTGAATCCCCAAATTCCCCAATTGCCCTGCGATCATCAGGACCGACCCTAACCCTCGCACACACCAACCAGCAAGCCGCTGCTGATTGGCGGGCTGGACCTGGAAGAAAGACTTGGGTTGGGCACGACCCGACCTCAACCACCTGAATTGAATCGACGATATCCGTATACCTACTCCGAAGACGGGACCCAGAGACTCAGAAACCCAGAAACCCAGTGCAATCGACCGATGATGAGATGAGTTCAAGTGGAAAAGGCTCCCCCCGTCAGGTGAGGTGAGGGGCACTTCAGCAAGACATTGATGATAGTTGCGCTAGCACTGCGCTGCACAGTTATGCTGATAATCAGGGCCCCAGTTTCCCCGGAATCGCGATGCCGCCGCAGCCAGTGCTCAGATGTGCAAACCTGGAAATCAGCAACATTCAAACCGGCCCAGACTGCCCAACACGGCACATGTCGTCGTGGCCCCTCAGGCTGTCTCTCTCCGTGAAACATTGGGTTCGACAGGCCACGTCGGGGACTCACATGGTTCCCAGACAGCAGCCCTATCAAGGCGACTGGCTACACAGGGGCTCCTGGTTGGAGGGCCCGCTTCCGATTGGGGATAGGCTCGCTGACAGCTCATCAATCCACCTAGGACCGGCAGTGGGTTGAGGCCCAACTCTGGCAAATGGCGAGTCGAGATGCGCCGCCGCTGCACCCAGCTAGCCCTGCAGTAGCGGTAAAGGATTAAGATGGAACTCTTATGGAGTCGTCCCCGGCACGGCTCCACCGCTCAAAGACTTAAGAGATAACCCCGTCGAGTCTTTGGCGAGCAATGAAGACTGATCTCTACAACCTCGACCTCCACTTCACTGTCGAACCATCCAGTCTCATCCGGGCTGCCCTCTTGACTCTCGTTGCCCTCCTCTTCGCCACCATATCCACCCTCACCAGCGAAGCCATGGCCAGAAAAAAGAAGAGCGGTGCCGCCAGGAAGGGAATCGACGGCCAGCTTGCTCTCCCCAGGCACGACATGGATCCCCGTCCCGAGACTTCGTATGTTGTATATATATCTGTTATATCTCACGCTGCCTTTTCAAACAACTGATAAATAACCTGGCTAAGCAGACCATACGCAAGCCCCACCTGCACAGTTCCTTTTGCAAGCCCCTTGGCGCTGCCCAAGGACATCCTCCTCAGAAGCCCCAGGCTCCACGCCGCCTATGAGGATAACCTTCCCGAGCTCCCAGAGATCTCGGATGACATTGGCCACGTTCTTGTACATTACCTCCACACCGGCACCTACGAGACCCTCAAGCCGAAGGCTGCCGACGACCTCCCACGCCAGATTGCCGAGCTCAAGACCAGCATCCAGGCCTACGCCGCCGCGAAACACTACGACCTCCCAGACCTCATGAAGCTTGCCGAGGCCAAGATTGAAAGGTATGGCGAGGGCCTGCCCCTCCCTTCCTTGCTGGAGGTGGCCAGAGACGCCCACCCCAACCTCTGCGACAATGACGACTGGTTTTTGAATTTTTTAAGGGCAAAGATTCGTCCTCATCTCAAGGACGCCAAGGCCCTCCGAGAATCCGACCTGCTGGACCAAATCAGCAACATCCTTTCTCCCAACCGGGTGCTGCTCCGCACCGTCCTGGAAATATTCTGTGAGAGCTATGTCCCCAAGCCGCAGCCTCCACCCCCATCACAACAGGCTGCCCCACAACAGCCACAGAGCCAGCAGCAGCAGCAGCAGCAGCCTAGCACCCCCGGCAGCTCGAGGGCGACATCACCTCCCCCAGCACCAGGGACTCCCATGTCCAACATAGACCTCAGATCCAGGACCATCTCCAGGGAGGACTCATTCCCAACGCCGTCCTCCAGGAAGAGCACCAAGACAGCCGTGCCCTGGCCCTCCCAGGACGAAATGAGTGGGACTGACGGTCAGCATGATTCGCCCAACGAGGCGTCTTCTGACCCCTTCCTGCCCGCCTTGCCCGTTCAGACTTCAGAACAGGTGCAGGTGGAAGAGCCACTAGCACAGTCGAAGCCCGTGTTTGAGCTGGACCCCATCTCGGAGACGCCAACTGTGGTCGAGCATGAGGAGCCGGCCCGTGAGGCATTCAGAGAGGTGGTCGAGGAAATCAAGGTGAAGGCGCACGAACAAGTGCACACTGAAGACTTGGCCCATCTCGCCCCGGTGCTTGAGGAGGAGAAGGAGGAGAAGGAGAAGCAGGTTGAAAAGCTTGGCCCTGTTCCGACCCTCGCAAAGCAGCGCGAGCGCGCCGACTCAGGCAAGCACATCGACATGGACGCAGAGCCGGCGGGCGAGTTCAGAGCTCTCCCAGTTCTCCAGGAGGGCCCCACCTCGTCGGTCCCCATTGTGATCTCCGACAAAGTGCCTGCCCTTGAGCCCAAGATCAATCCTCGTGCGGCCTTGAGACAAGCCGATTCGGGGTTCTGGTCCGAAATCGATACTGCCTCGGAGCACGACCAGGCCGTCGTCGGCAAGGAGGCTCTTACTCCTGCGGTTGTCGAGGTGGAGGTACCTCTGACCCCACCTCTGCAGGAGGTTCTGCCCGTGGCCGAGATCAACGAGCTCGACAGTGCCCCCTCCAAGGCTGGGGATGATCAGGGGCGGGACCAAAACAAGCCTTCCGTTGCTGCGCCTATCAATGATAAGGCCGAGCTCGATTCGCCCAAGGACGAGGCCAAGGAGGAGGCCTCTGAATCGGCTAAAGATGAGGTCGAGACGGCCTCCCAACCGGCCCTGTCAGCCTTGCTTCCCTCCCCCAAGCCCGCCATTGCGCTTCCTAGCAAGCTCGAGCTTCCGGCTGAAATCCTCGAGGCGGTTTCTGCCTCCGTCGCTGAAGACACCCAGGAACAAAAAGAGGAGGACAAGAAGGACCAGATGGAGAAGTCAGTCTTCCCCGCCACCCATCTCTCCCAAGAAGGGCCCTCGATTTCCAAAGAGGTACATCCCTTTTTTTCTTCTTTTTCTTTCCGGCACTCTTCCTTTGGTGTCGTTGTCCCAACGTCACGCCACACCCGCAAGATGCTCTAGTGCTAACCCTTTGTTTTGTGATACAGCCCGAAGTCGCTGAAGCTGCGCCCGCTCCAAAAGTGGAGGTCGAGAACACCGTCACCCAAGGGACCCAGGAGGACGCCGACAAAGTTCCCGACGTTGCTGACACCGTTGGGCCCGCTGAGTCCCAAACGGCTGAGCAGAAGCCGCAGCCGGAGTCGGAGCCCGCTGCGTCGACCGTTGAGCAGCCACAGCCCGTTCCAGTCGTCGTCCCGAAGGCCAGCAGAGCGAGGAGCCTCAGGAGCCTCAAGAACGGCGTCATGGGCAGGGGTTCCTCTTCGTCCCTCCACCTCACACTCGCAAGGACGCGCTCCAAGTTTTCCAGCAGCAACAAGAACCTCCCCGTCTCCGTTTCAGTTCCAGCTGCCGAGTCTTCATCGGCGCCTAAGCCAGAGGCTGAAGCCCCAGCAATCAAAGGCAAATCCCAAAGTCCGGCAGTAGTTTCGGGCAGCGGCGGCGGCTGGAAGAAAAAGCTCTTCCGCTACCCGGTTCTCTTTGGTCGTGGCATGTGACTATCCTCAACCCTCTCCGCACTTTTGTCACGCCCTTCTGCGCCCACACCACCTTTGCAGGCCACGCTCTCGAGGGTTGAGGTGCAGGTACGCAGCCAGGTCACGACCGGCACCACAATCACTACCCCCACCGCAACCTCCTCCAACACTAGAGCCATCTCCTTTGTCGAATCCTTCCCTTTGCTCATAGGCCTCGCCTTCCTCTTTGGCCCTTCTGGCTCTGACGACACCCACCCAGGCGACGAGATCGACTGGACCTTCCTCACCTGCCTCACATTCCAGATCCTCTTTTTCTGGGCTTTCCTACAACACTACGTCACCCCGGCCTTGGTACTCCGCCTCCCCCGTGTTACCAGCCAGACCAAGACGCTGGTCAGGGGTTCACGGCGATGGGCCTGGATGAACAACTGGCATGTTCTGGGCTATCTAAAGTTCAAGAACATCAAAGGGACGACGAAATCGACCATTTCCCGGCAATCTAGACCAAGGCTTGGAGGCTCTGGACGCGCGCAAGGATGGGGCAGAATATGATTATGATGAAAGTGTATGACATTCTCCTTTGTTATTACCCCTTTTCTTTTTTTCATCTCGAATTTTCCCTTTGTTATTTGTCAGAACGATAAATATGCGGCACAGGCATGCATACAGATTGATATGAAATGCATGATAATGGCCACGGTAGGGATGATGGGAGGTTGGCATGGGGTTTCGGATATCTCGGGTTTTGTTGTTCTTTTTTCTTTTTTCTTTTCATGATCATTTTTGCCTACAAAACTCGCGAGATTAGATAGCATCGCATCAGTCGCATACATAGCATGGCGGAGATACTTGAGAATACTAAGCATGGTTGGCGTTTTCATTCAATATCATGTTTCCCTTGCTCACAAGCAGCTCGCACGGTTCAAGAGCTTTCTTTCCCTCCTAGATACCTGTACACCACTCTGGAGTCCAAGCCCATGCAGTCCTCGGCCGCGCTGGCAGCTGTATAGACACCCAAACCAGACACACCGAGGACATTCTTGGCACCCACCTGCCGCGCCATGGCGATTGCCAGTCCCATGTCTTTCTTCATCAGCTCCACCCTGAATCCGCCACGGTAGCCATTGGACGAGGGTGCCTGTGGACAGACATTCGGAACAGGGTTAAACACATCACATTGCCGGTTCTGTGCCGTCCCAGACGCGAACACAGACGCAAGTATCGTGCGGTCGATACCGGCTCGCATGCCCATGTCCATGGCTTCTGAAGTGGCGATGGTGATGATGCCAGAGAGGTAGTTGTTGGACAGCTTTGCGGCTAGCCCCAGAGATGGACCACCACATGGTATGGCTTGGCTGCCCATTTTCAGTAGCAGGTCCTTGAGACAAGATAGGTTGGTGTCTGCAGGCGAACAGCCCATGAAGAAGGCTATTGTGCCTTTGACTGCCCCTATTTGCTGTACGCGTGAGAACTTCCTTGCGAGCACTCATTTGAAAAGAAGATTGGCCCTACCTAGCACGCCTCCTTGACTAGGGGTCAGCGTCTAATACCAGCATGAACATGGGGCGCCAACTAACCAGATACCGGGCAGTCGTAGAAGAAACTGCGGGGTGCGATCTTGGAAACTTCAGACTTCACATGCAAAGAGGTTGCGGTATCGATGGTTGAGCAGTCGATGAGTATTTTGGCACTGTCTGGACCCAGGGTGCTGGCAATACCGCTGTCTGGGTCAAGATAGACGGATCTCACGTGGCTGCTTTCCGGGAGCATCGTGAATACCACAGTCTTGGGAAGCAAGCCCCCTGGTTGTCAACAACAGCAAACAAACGGAGCAAGGTGATAATGGCGTTAGATCGCACTTACAGCATCCGACACAGCTGTTTTCGCACTGCTTGCTTCCCGAATGACATCTGGAAAATTGGTTTGGAGCTCCTGTGCAGGCCCATCCGCAATATCATAAGCCCGTATGACAATGCCTCGTCGAACTAGATTGGCTGCCAGGTTGGCTACCATTGGCTTGCCCATAGCGCCAAGCCCGATAAACGCTATGATGCTGTGATATTCTGCGGATGACATGGTGGGAGATGATGCTGAGCAGGATAACAACGCGGACGCGGAAACTGGCCGGGTGCCGACCAAGAGAAAGGCTATGCGGGGAAGAAGTTGCCGGCCACCCAGGAGGGGTTGCTCTCTTTCCTATATATACCTAAGGTAGATACGTTTCTGTCTGAGGTACCTACCTGCTTTGTGCACCAGTTTCCCAGTATGGCTACAGGTACAGTTTGTGTTCATGCCCTCTCTACAGGCCATTTCTGCCTGCTGGAGGATTATTTTATCGAACCATACCCGTCACCTGGAAGCCGAAAGATGGTTCCTTCTCTATGCTTTTTGGTACAACACACGCCATCCATCAGGAGAGCCACGACCAATATTCTCTTCGACTTGGGGGTAAGACGGGATCCCTCTTTATACTCGGAGCAAATTCGTCAACACATCAAACTCGGCAGCCCATGTCTACGAACCCCGATGTGACGAAGAGTTTACAAAAGGGGGGCTTAAGGCCGAATGAAATTCACTTTGTTGTTCTGTCATACGTGTGTGCTCCAATATTATTCATCCACCATCACCCCCAGCTTGGATATCCATCTTACCCCAACCATGAGCAGGTACACTGGGACCACATTGGCTACCCGCCTGATTTTGCAAGTTCGTAATTCGTCATTGGTCACGGTTCAGCCGCTGTGCTTTCCGGGACCTCTTCGGCTTCTCTTAGGGGCAGCCACTCTTTCTTCGAGGCAGATTTGCTACCTGCCGGTAGAACAATCGAGCTATCTGACCCTAATATATCTCACCAAAGTAGCAGTGAGGCCGGGAAGCACGAAATCCAGAATCTGACACCCAACTGGACACAATGGCAGCCAATTCCGTCACTAAGATCCCGAAAGCTCTCGATGTTTTCAACGGCGGCTGTCTCTATCTCGTGGATGCGCCAGGTCACTTACCAGGACATACAATCTTCTTGCTCGAACAGAGAGCGGCTGGGTTTATCTTGCCGCTGACTCCTGCCATGATCGGCGGATCTTGCGCAAAGACAAGGAGATAGGCGAGTGGACAGACGAGAATGGCAGGAGTTGCTGTATTCATCATGACCGGGCGAAAGCCGAGGAGACTATTGAGATGATCAGGGGGCTGGAGGCAAAGGGGGTCGAGATCATTTTCGCACACGATGAAGAGTGGGAGAAAAGAAACCCGCTGCGGTTTTGGGGAGCCTGATCATACCCCTTCATGGCATTGAGACCATCCCGCCTTGCAGTAGTCCCCGCACCATGAAACCATGGGTATCAACAGGACTGAAATGACATCGGCTATGCAGTCTGCGTGGGGGGTGTTTAGGCGACGGCAGTTCAGTGTCCGTCCTGTGCTCTGCCGATCCCAAAGTACCTATGAAGGGGCCCGGGACTTAGTTATTTGTCCGACCCTTGAGATAATGATTAGCTATCTTTGAACCGCGAATTTTCTCCAACTTCCTTACCTCGTTCAATCTGCGATTTCAAGGATCCAGCATACTTGATTGCCAACATCATGTCTCGCCAGGCCCAGCAACAAGCGGCTAGAGATCGCTTTAATGCACTTCTGGGGCCTGCCCATTTCCATGAGGGCTGGGAATCCCTTCTAGCCCTTTCGCCGTCCTTCTTCAACGCAAGTGTGTCTCTTGCTTCAGTCCCGAGAAAGAATCTTCACTTGTCCTCCAAGAACCAAGCTTTGATAGGCTTGGCAGTCGATAGTGCAGCAACTCACCTGTTTACTCCTGGCATCAGAACCAATGTTGCAGCCGCTTTGAAAGAGGGGGCCTCAATAGCCGAGGTTGTCGAAGTTATTGAATTGAGCAGCACGCTGGGGATTCATGCTTGTAACATTGGAGTCCCTCTGTTGGTGGAGGTGCTCAAGGAAGAGGGGCTGCATGTCGCCGAGACAACAAAAGAGTTTGATCAAAGACAGGAGAAGCTGAAGGAAGAGTTTACCACTAAAAGAGGATACTGGCATACATTTTGGGAGGACTTTCTGAGGCTAGATGCAGACTTTTTCGAGTCATACCTGGAGTTCTCGGCGGTGCCCTGGACTAAAGAAGTGGATGGAAAGGTAGGAGGTGCCTTGGAGCCAAAGGTTAGTACTTATCGCATGCTGAACAGGCACCCCCCTGAAGAAGTTGGTAGTGACACGGCAATACGATAGGTGAAGGAGCTAGTATACTGCGCTTTTGACTGCGCTTCGACACATTTGTACAAGTAGGTCAAGTGTTAGCTTCAGGAACCTGACACCTACTAACAAGTCCTAACTAGGCCAGGTCTGAAACTACACATCAGAAATGCTTTGGGATACGGTGCTACTCCTCATGAGATTTTGGAAGTGTTCGAGATTGCCACACTTTTGAGCTTGCACACCGCTCATGTCGCTGCACCTATCATTTTGGAGTTGAATGCGCAGAAGGGAACAATTTGAGGGTGACAGATCTGATGACGGTTGCATATTATTTCAGGTTCGGAACCGATTACCGAGTGTTTTTGCTGCTTTCCTTTTCAGCCATTGATTAGGTAGTTCTTATTGATATACCGTGAAATGTCCATGTAAAATAAATGCACGTGTGCGATACACATTTACTCTGATACTTTGTACCTTGCGGTATTACATGTCCAGGTATGAGTTTAAAATGGTGCGGTTCACTGCTGAATGACCCCCACTCGGGCATAAAAAGTAACTCCGAGTCTTGGAAAAGGACTGCACCTTCCCCCCTCACTTGAAGTTTTGATAATGCTTGCAATTTCTCGGCATCCCTTTCATTACTCTATTCCTTCGTCTTGCTATCAATTCCCCTTGACTTATTGCCTCTTGCCTTTCCACCTCCAAATCTACGCCAGTATCGGTTGCAAGATGTCGACCGACCCCAAGTTAGCTCCCCTCCATCGACAGCTCTTTGAAGAAGGCTTGAAGGTGCGACGCGAAGTAGTCGGAACCGAATATGTTGAGAACGCCCTGGCAAACGGATCGACCGAATTTTCCCGTCCCGGACAAGAGCTCGTCACGGAGTGGTGCTGGGGCTGGGCTTGGACACGCGATGGCTTAACGAGGAAACAGAGGTCACTACTCAATATTGGCATGCTCATGGCGTTGAACCGAGCCCCCGAACTGGCTGTGCATATTCGTGGTGCAAGAAACAACGGCTTGACTGAGGTGGAAATCAGGGAGGCCATTCTACACTGCACGACTTACTGTGGTGTGCCGGCCGGGGTGGATGCCATGAAAGTGGCCGAGAAGGTTCTGAATGAGATGGCGAATAAGGGAGAGAAAGATAGGGAACTGGGTAACAAGGCAGTGTGATATCAGTCAAAGAGTTCAGGGGCTCAGGCCTTAAGGGGTAACGGCTCCACTTTTGTTACAGTATGGTCAAATAGGTACACGTTGCAATCTCAATCATCCAGTGACATGTCTATCACCAGCTTGCCGCCCTTTCCCTTCTTGTACTCCAGCACAAGATCGTTTAGTTTCTTCAAGGGGTAACTCTTGATCCGTGCCTGGACATTATGCTCCGCCGCAAACATGACCATTTCCCTCAGCATCCTGTTGCTCCCTACAAGACTACCTCTGATAGAAATGTCCCTAAAGACCACGTCTCGGGCAGAAATATGAAACCCATTAGCGGGAAACGAAACCAGGATGCATCTTCCGTGAGCTCGAAGTAAAGAGACGCCATAGTCCATAGCTCTTTGGCTTTCAGGCAAGACTATGACCGCATCAAGGCCCATGTTGCTCCTGTCTTGCCTTTGATCCTCTTTCCCCATCTCCTGGACAATATCCTCGGCTCGTGAAATCCTCGCATCCACGATTCTCACAGAGAGGCCCTCTTTCTGGCGCAATGTTTCCTCAATCTCCCCTGATACACGCAACGGTTCATCCGCAACATCAACACCAATCACGCCCAGTCCCATCTTGGCCGCAAACTGGAGCCCAAGATGTCCCAGCCCACCACCGCAGCCCATGATGCCCACCTTTTGTCCTCTTTCCAAACCGCAATTTTTAATGGCAGCATAAATGGTGAGCCCCGCGCACATCAAGCTTGCTCCTTGGACTGCCGAAATGCTGTCTGGCAGCGATGTGACCTGTCGACTATCAACAATCGCGAATTCTCGAAACCCACCTGGGGTCGAGATTCCGTGGTTGCCCGCCGAGGCACAGTAGACACTGTATCCCCCACCGTCCACATAAATGTTTTTGTCGTTGTCTGGCTCGCGCGAGCATTCAAAACACTTTCCGCAGGGGCGGAATGAGCGACCTGGAACGCCGACCCGGTCACCAATCCTGTATTGAGATGAAGAGTGCTCTGGGAGGGACACCACGACGCCTGAAAACTCATGGCATCCAATGTGAGGAAATGAAGGCGGGAAGGGGGGCATTTGGCCTTGGGCCATCACGAGGTCTGTGTGGCAGTACGATGCAGCCAGGACTCTAACGAGCATTTCATGGGGGCTATCGGCTGTGAAACTCGGAAGCGGTAGTGTGGTGAGTCGATATGGTGCGTTGAACGATGGGAGGATTTGGGCTTTCATTTCGTTGGGGAGCATAGAGGAATCCATTCTGAATTTGAGCCAGTGAAGACGACTTCACAACTTTGAGGAGAGATGAAAACGTAAGGACGCGCTCGACTTGGCAGCAAATAGGTGATGCTACCTCCAACAAGTTCGGAATGCCGCTATATAGCTACAAGTCACAGCAGTACCTGTCTGTGGCTTGGTGGGGCTGCTCTGCTTCCTCGGAGTCAGTAGTGTTTTCCGTAATTTCCCCCCCAATTCTACCAGTTGACTATCTTCTCACAGAAAAGCGAAACAAAATCTTTTGAAGCAAAACTTGACTTCCATTTTCACTTTTTCGTCTCTTCCATTATGGAGTCCTCACCAGTAACCGTTACGATCTCGGCCCTGGACGCAGGCCACCTCACACTGCCAGAGCGATTGTTCGTTACCGACGCTGACTCCGAGAAGCGTACCACTGTCCCGTCTCTCTCCTTTCTCATTCAACACTGCGCTCCTGGAAAAACAAGACCTACTCGGATGTTATTCGACCTTGGGGTAAAACGAGATATCGAAAGATACACCCCCTCTCAGCAAGCACACATTGCTGAACGACAACCTGTTATTGTATCTCCAGACTGCAGGGAGAGCCTGCTATCTGGCAGTGCCACCATCACTCCGAAAGATATCGACCTAGTGATGCTAAGTCATGTACACTGGGATCACGTTGGCACACCGTCAGACTTTTCCTCGGCCACCTTCCTCGTTGGTGCCGGCACCCTGGATCTCCTCAAAAATGGGGACGGCCCGCTCTACCCAGCTGATCTCTTCAACGACGACGAGTTGCCGTCCGATCGAACAATAGAACTACCGCCTGTTTCCCTGTCCGGGGTTGGAAGTGGTCGGCCCCAAAGGACACGGCCATCAGACTCAGCACTGGCTCGCATCGCGCCCTATTTAGATGCTGATATCTGGACCTGGAGGCCTCGATTCACCTTTTCGTCCACGTTGGATTTGTTCGGGGATGGGTCTGTCACGGTCATTGACACCCCAGGTCATCTCCATGGACATGTCAATCTGCTTTGCCAGGTTGCCAACTCAAAGTATGTTTACTTAGGAGGCGATTGCTGCCATGACCCACGTATTCTGGCAGGAGACAAGGGGATTGCAATGTATCCGGATGGAAGGGGAGGGCTGAGAAGTGTGCATGTTGACACCGGGGCTGCCGCCACCTCGCTTGACAGAATCAGAGACTTTGTTGAAAGCTGTCAACGGCCTGTTGAGACAGAAGTGGTTGTCGCTCACGACGGAGCCTGGAGGGAAAGAAACAAACACCGGTTCTGGCCGGGAAAATTGTAGCAGCCGCGAGCCATGTTTGTGGCATGTCGTACAGAAAAGAGATAGTTCGGTTGAAGATAAACATGTGAGAAGCGCATCACCAATCACAGCCATCTTGTACTACTAACAAGCATATGTCGTCAAACTGAGGCGGTGAACTAGTTCCTGCCCGTCAATTCCGCCTACCCGGTTTTCGCTTCTCGAGCCCACGATAATTGTGCCACCTCGGAAATCTGGTGTTTGGTCTTCTTCGCGGCACAGAGCTCGATTCTATCATCCAAGACACTGCAAGGTGACGCATGAATCACCCGTTTGCTCTTGCTGCATTGCAGATGTGGGGGATATGCAGTGTCTTCTGATCCCCCTCATTCCCAGCCATACATACCATCTACATGCCGAGCAGACGGCTCTGGGCCACAGATCGGCAGTTATCTTCTGGCAATGGTTTTCCACGGAACAGGACGGGAGGATCGGGGATTTTTTTAGGAAATGTGGTTGTTTGTCAAACCACAGGTACATGTAGATGTCTATCGGAAGTCGTTGTTTCTCGTGGTGTTGGTGTTGCGTTCACGGCGACCTTTTGAGAACATCACTGAAGCCCCTCCGCTCTCGGCCAGAACACTATTTAGTGTGGCGAGCAAACATCATTACTTTACCAGCATCAGGTTCTGCCATGTCATCTCCCAAGGATACGGTGGCGTTTATCGGTATGTTTATCATCCCGCTGAATGGCGTAGCCCCGAGGGGTCCTAATGAAAGCAAACCAGGTCTGGGCGTGATGGGTTATCCCATGGCCAGGAACCTTCGGGCTGGCCTGGGTTCTGACAAGACGCTCCTCATCTGTGACGTCAACACCGATGCTCTCGAGAGGTTCATGGCTGAGGTCTCAGTTTTGGGGAGAGGTCCAGTCCGGATTGTACAAAATGGATTCGAGGCAGCCAAGCAAGCTGTAAGATGCCACCGGTCGTCGTTGGCTGCATGGGTGAAACGTTTCACTGATAAAAGTTGATGCCAAGGACACGGTCATCACTATGCTTCCAAACTCTTCGTCCGTTCTAGCCGTTTATCTCGATGCGTCCACTGGAATACTCCCGGCACTCCCCGAACCTTTGGACCATAACGCCTGTGGCTCAAAGCTGCTCATGGAATGTGGCACAATAGAGTCGTCAACAATTCTCACCGTCTCTCGCTCCATACCCGAGAACCGGGCAACCTTTGTGGATGCTCCTGTGTCCGGCGGTCCTATGGGGGCTCAGAACAAGTCCCTAACTTTTATGGTCGGCTGTCCACCACCGCTCTCCGCCTCTGTGTTTCCCCTCGTCAAGTCTTTTCTGTGTCATATGGGTGATCCAGACGGTACCTTCCTTTGCGGAGACGTTGGAGCCGGCACGGCATTCAAAATCATCAATAATTACCTGTCAGCCATAACGTCGCTGGCTGCATCCGAAGCTTTAAACATAGGAGTTAAAGCTGGGTTAGATCCCCGGTTACTGACTCAAGTAATCAATGCCTCCGGGGGTCAGTGTTGGGTCACAAGCAAGTCAAACCCGGTACCAGGGGTTCAAGATAATGTTCCGAGCACCAGGGGATACGAAGGGGGTTTTAGGATAGAGCTTTGTGCCAAAGTGTTGGGAATGGGCTCGAAGCTGGCCCGGGATGTGGGTGCGAGAACAGTGCTGGACGAACCTACACTGAATGCGTTTAGTGAGGCGATGGAGGACGAGAGATACAAAGGGAAGGATGCCAGGGTCGTGTTCAAGTGGTTGAATGATCAATGAGCATGTCTTTCAACTTTACCTACGTACCCCTATTTCCTACTCTTGGTAACAATTCTAGCTAAACTACCTGTCTAGGTAGTTACAAGTCAACATGTGTCTATGCTCCTCGAAAACCCTCTCTCCTCCCCAGCCTTGATTCCTTCCATAATGTTACCACTTGAGAACCTTTTGCGGAAAGAACTCATCAATCAACTCCATGTAGTAAGGCTGTATTCCATCTTTTGTTAGCAGTTTTCCTTCTGGCTGAGAAACACGGGGAAACCATACCTTCATCTTTTCCACATCCGGCTCCTCGTCCGTCTTGCTATACAAATCATAAGGATTGAACGCCTGCACCGCCCTCAACAGCACCTCGTCACCGTCAGCCATAAACTCTTTGTATGCGCCCTCGTGATGCCACGGGTAGAAGCTGTGGTACCGAATCATGGCCAACGCCTCTCTGGGCAAGACGCTTTGATCCTTGAGCACCAGGTAAAGGAACTCATCGTGCCCCCAGCTCATCATGAACTGATCGATGCCTTTCCCGGGGGTGTAGATCCCATTCTTGGTCCCATAGATGGGGTGTTCGCGGTCGGGATTCTGCCCGAACGCCTCGACAAAGACACACTTTTCATCCCATTTGCAGCCGACAGGGAACGTGTCCCCCACGACGTCCCACTGCCCCGTCGAGCACCCTTTGAAGAACAGCATGAGCTTCCCCAGGTCGTGAACTAGCCCCGTGACTTGCATCCACCTCGGCTTCCCGTCCCTCCGAATGGCCTCGGCACTCTGCAGCAGGTGTTGGATCTGGCTCAGGTCGGTATCGGGATCGGAATCATCAATCAGGGTGTTGAGCCGCTCCATGGCCTGCCAGATGGTCATCTCCTCCCGCTTCCTCTTGGGGTCAAAGAAGTGCGCCCTCATTCTCAGATTGTGCTCCACCGTCTGCCGGGCATGCTGCTCCGAATAAAAGTCGCGCACGCGCTCACAGGCCGTTTCATACTGGCGGAAAGAAGCCTTGTCTTTGGCCACGTCAAATTTGGACTCGGAGTCGTAGGCTGTGATGGGCGACGAGAGGCCCTTGAGCTTGTTGACCTTGTCGACGGCATCAGAGATGACTTCCAGAGCCGCACCGTCAGCCAGCAGCAGAGGCGGCTGCTCGGAAGCGTAGATCGCCGAAGGGGCCATGGACCGGTGTGCTGGGCGCTGCAGCTCAAGAACCGTCTAGTGTGTGATTTGTCACCTGTAATCGCCCGGAGGCTCTGTTGTGTGTGTGTGCGAACTGTGACCGGCTAGTCAGCCAGAAAACGGAACGAGGGACTTTCACAGTGTGAGCCACCACTTACTAGCCTGGGGAGTCTTCTCTCTCGATGTGACCTGAGCTCACGAGGTCGTGATGAGCAACGCAGCAAGGCAAAACAGGCGAACTACCTAGCAGGCGGTCATGTGGTGTGGGCTGTGATAGCAACGACGCCCAGTGCCGACAGAGAAAGCCACTGCAATCCTTCATGGACGGAGCACACCGCATTTTATACCCCCGAACAGCCGCACCTCGATCGATCATGAGCCACTAGGCGGTAACGACGGCACCATGCCCAGCCCAGAGCGGAAAGAATGTCACTCAAGAGTCAATGGGAAATGCATGATTGCTCACCGCACAAGTCCAAACGAAGTGTCAGTCACCACCTGGGAAGGCATCTGGGAAAAAGAAGCATACCGACGAGGCTAGTGTGACGGACATGAGCAGGAGGGGTGGTACTGAGACACAGAGAAGGACTACACGAAAAAGAAAAGAAGATCAGACCATGGAGAAATTCGGTGTCGTGAACACAGGTATGTTTGCCTCGAGGGGTGTGCGTCCACAGTGTGGACGCCGGCATCTGGACTCATAATAGGGTACGGGGACATCGCCGGTGCGCCAATGTTTGCTTCGGCAGGCGGTTTGCTCCAACTCGACATTGTCTTGGTCTGTGGGGGGTATCCGGGCACCTGCATGAGCGTGTATGTGTGTAGAAGTCTCCAGGCTGGGAGGACAGGACGGATATGCACCTCGGTTTCCATCATCGAGATAAGATCTCCCCGGCCGTTCGGAAGATCCCACACCCTCCCCAAGACAGTGCCATGCGTCTCCCGTGACCGTCGTCCTGTGCCCTCTCTACCTGATGAACCCCTTCCCGCGATCCCGGGATGCGGGTACTTCCCAGCAATCCGGCACACATCGGCTGAAATTGCTCAACAGGACGTTGAGCCTTCTAGGAACAGGAAACGTACCCCGGGAGGTCAGCCGGACTCTTGGGCTCCCATCCACAGTTCGGAAGAAACATGCTAGATTGCTCGGAATCGGGCAAAACTGCGCGAGGAGGGGAGGGGAGGGGGGACGCTTGAGCAGCCAGCCTCATCACCAACCCCGGTCCCCGGTCCCTGGTCGGGAGCACTGCTGAACGCATGCGCCCCGCACCACCAAGTCCTAGGTAGTGGTATGGGGGGGACAAACATACACTACGCTTCCTGCAACATGCGGGCAGGCAGCATTAATAGTAGCGATGGCAAACCCGTTTCCTCTGCCCTGATTTCTGTGTCCATCACGCGCCGCCACCCGTTTTCTTTTTTCCCGCACTAGGAGGTCCACGTGATAACCGAGCTCGCCCATTCGTTCGAGGTTCAGCCTCCTATGCGTAGACGTAGACGAGTTGCGGCCCGACGTTGGGTGGCACCCACAAAAGAGCGGCGAGCTGCACCTCGAGATGAAGGCGACCAAAGTTGCCTTACACGTGCGGTAGACATGCATTAGCTTCTGGTGTTGTTGATTCACAGGCTGACCTGATCTCGTAGCTAAGTGCCGATTCCACTGACCGACACAGCAGTGACGATCGGCCTAGTTGAGAAAACCGCTCCTCCTGCCTGAACTCCAAGACACACGCAGACTGCCCATTCCCTCATGTCCCATCCACACAGTACATTTGCCCTCATCTTGAAAGGGCCGCAGACATGTGAATTAACAAGCCTTATCGCCAGCGCCAGGCTTTCTTCATCTGTTGCTGGACCTCCAACGTGGGACGAGCATGGTCTTTCTCGGTCTGTTCGAGAATGGCCAGCATGGCAGTCTGGTCCTGGAGCCTGCTGAACAAGTGACCGACTACTCGACTGTTAGCAAGCCAGTCCTCCACAACCGAAAGGCAAAAGGGTTTGAAATTCTTACAGGCTGCAATTGCCATGCAGGCAGTGAACATGCTTGGAGCTATGCTCTTGTTTCCGAGCCCAATGCCACAAATTTCTCGCACCAGTGCCTGAACGTGATTCTGCCAAACAAGTGTCAGAACAGCTAGGTCATCTTTCGTCTTATAGGGTCCTTGACATGACCTACCGTCAGCGCTTGGGCCTCATCCATCGAGGCCATCCCATGCCTTGGTTTGTTATAGAACAGAAAGGCTGAGGCGAGAAGAAAGTGTTGCATCCCGATAACTGCGGCAACATTCGTAGTTAGCTTCAGGGACAGGAGCTCGAAACATGCGTCGTGCGCCTCACCTTGGCAGCTTCTCAGATACCAAATCTCTGGAAAGGGCTTGGTATTGTCGTTTTCTTTGACGTAGGGCACCCAAAAGTCAGATTCCTCCCTCAGCATGGCCAGCTTGTTGCTGTCTCCCCTCCCCATTCGGGCCGCCCAATGTTCATTTTCTTGGACGAGCAGCTCCCACCGGTCAGACGTGCGGTTCGCCTGGTCACCATGGCAAAAGTTCAAAACGTTGGCGCAGTGCACTACAGCTCTGTTGGCCCAGTAGTAATCGTCTTCAATATCCTCGTATGGATCTTTGCTGGGCAGCGCGGAGACCAGGCTGAGCTTTACCGTGGCCTTTTTCATGACAGCATAGTATATATCCTGCCGCAAACCCACCCAAAACGACGCGGCGGCCAATGTTCCCGGGGCGAGGCCCTTGTGACGGGAGACATAGCTGTTTGTATACCCGCGAATGCCCGTGAGATGCACGTGGCTTTTGACATCTTGTTCGTCCATCAAGAGGGTTTGGGACTCTGGAACCGTGTCAGCATGTCCTTGGTTCTGCTATGCCATGGTCTCTATCTCTAGATGCGCAATATTCATGACGTACCTTGCATTTCCTCCATGACTCTTAGAATGATGGCTGCAGCGAAACAGTTCTCAGCCAACCTGGGCTCGCGGTTGACCAGCACCGCGAGACCCCCGCACTTGCTGATCTTGTTGATGTTTTCAATGCACCGGAAAGCATAGACCTGGGCCTGCTCCTCGTAATAGGATCGACAGGTATTGGCCTGATGCCGGGCAGATAACGCCAACATGGCGTCTCGCAAGATGGAAGACTTTGCAGCCCTACGGGGCACTTCAATCTGGAATGATTCTGTTCTCTGGTGTTAGCTTTTGCTTTGCACTGGACACCAGGACGGGAATTGACAAGGTCACGGCGCACATACGGTTTGGATCGCACAGGTCGAGCCAGAGGGCCAGGTTTTCAACAAAGTGACGGATGAGATGGCCTTCGGTACCCTGTGGTAGTGGCCACTTGGAAGGCTCCTCAACGCCGAGAAGAGAGGGTTGGACCGCAAACGGCTGTTCTTCCACAGCAGACTGGTGCCCGTCTACAGCGAATCTGGTGACAATGGCAAGATCACTGGGCGAGTGTCTAGACTCGGGCGGGACTGAGGATTCCTGGGAGAGGGTAGCAGATGGCGGGGCTGTCGCTCCTCCTGGCGAGGTAAGCTCTGGCGAGGTAAGCTCTGGCGAGGCAGCATAGTTCAACAAGTCAGTATCAAAATCTTCAGCCCCGCTTTCCGGGCTGGACTGATCATGCCCGACTGTCGTGGTCTCATCGATCCAAACATCTTTTCCAGCCGCAGCCGTCGTTAGCAACCAAGGCACTCTCTGCCAGCACCCAGAAGGACTGACATACATCGTTTTGGAAACCTGACCCACTTCTGTTTCCTTGTGAATTTAAACTTGCCATCTGCAGGCAGTCTGTCAGCCTCAGATGATGTGTGAAATAGAGTAGAGAAAGGACAAGAACTTACTCTCGGTGTTGACACGGATCTTGAGGCCGGTTGGACGACAGGCCCGGCCTGAAGTTTGGCAGCGGCCACATGTGGGTGTTACTCGATCACCTATAGTCTGCTCGTCAATACTTGGCCGTGCATATGGGAGATGTTGCGGGCTGCTGCACTGGCCGGACTAACATTTCAGATGCTGCTCCCGACAGTTGATGCTGTTATGGTTGCGTGGGTTTGTTAGTCTGGGCAAAACAGAAGAGGGGACGGGATCGGATCAATCAGATCATATCAGATCGGATCGGATCAGATCAGATTAGATCAAATCAAACCAGATCCGTGGGCTCCAAAAAGAAGACAAGGAAAAAGGAACACACGCACCAGCCAAACTTGGCCAGACCGGGTAGGGCGCCGGGAGACGAGCCGGAGGCGGAGGTGCTCGTGCTTGGAGATGCCATGCCTGCCCACAGCACTGGCGATCGGAGGCGGGACGGGACGGGAGGGTTCTGTCTGGGCTCCAGCTGTCGGTGGCCGCGAGAAAGCCGAAACTCACACCAGCAGGAGAAGCGCAAGCATGCTCGGCTGTGCGACGGGCGGGACGGTGGAGCCGTGGGCAGTGGAGGGTGGAGAGAGGAGATCCTGTCGGGGAGGTGGAGTATGTTGCTGCTGCTGCTGCTGCTGTTGTTGTGGTTGTTGAGAATGGAATTTGTCGAGCGAGAGAAACTGCGAGAGAAGGCTGGAGAGAAGAGAAGCTTGACAATACGAGACCCGAGCTTGCACACACGCGCGGCTTGTGGTTTGGGGCTGATATCCTCACCCAGCCAAGGGAAATGGCGCCCGATGAGATGGAATTACAGGCTTGTTGCAGCTGCCAGCAGCAGTGGCAGACTGGGGCGATAATGCAAGTAGTGGTCTGGGCAAAGAAATGGAAGATGGAAAGAACCGTGGAAGATTGATGATGGACCTAATGTAAGCAGATATGTCTGTGACAAGTAAAAAAAGAAAGTCAGACTGGGCTGGCTGCTGCACCTCCATCCCACCTGGCATCAGTCTGCGTTTCTCGATCGGGTCCCGAATCACGATGCGGGGAAGGGCGCCACGGCGCTCTCCATATGGCACTGCCATCTTGCATCTTCCATATTCCATTTTTCATCTCCCATCCTTCTTCCCCTTTCCCTTTGCATTCCCACGCACCGCCGCGGTCGTGACAGACGTCTACCCAGGTACACATTCACTCTATACTAGGGCCTGGAGGTATGGCACCTTACCTTGGGCATCGGGTGGACACTCGACACTAACAGAGCGCAGGTACATAGAGTCTAAAACGGCGCCCGACTGTTGCCTTGGCCAAAATTGGCCTAGTACCTCCAGGTTGAATGCCTCCCTCCAGGTACCCAACATATGTTTCAGCATGCATCTCTGTCTGGAAAAGGGCACAAGGGGCAGCTAGGAACCAGATGCTCGGATTGAATCATGGCAGGGGGCTCCAGGTTCCATGCCTATGCGAGTCTGCAACTCCATCCAGTCTATCTACCCCGCTGTAACCCGCCAAACACTCCACAGCGTCACACCTGGGCTCCTCTGCGATTGGATTGTGAATTATTTTTCCGTGGAGTTTGTGCAAAGTCGGGGGGCGATGGATGAAAATGGATCGGCAGTCAACGCGGCGAAGGCACGCGACTTTTAAAAAGTCCTTTTCTCCTTCATGTGAGCGAGCTCGTCGTTCTTTGGTAGCTCCAACTCTTCTATACCCAACACCATGGCGTCCAGTATGGCTTCGGATGACAAGCCCACGCCTTCTCAGGCCGCGGCTGGCGATGAGAAGGGTGCTGGCCATTTCACGGCGGCCGACCGCGTGATCCACGGTGCCAGGATGGCCACGGAAAAGGAACAAAACATGACGTTGCTGCAGGGAATCAAGCTGTATCCCAAGGCCATCGCCTGGAGCCTGCTCATCTCGACATGCATTGTCATGGAGGGATATGACATTTGCCTTGTCAACAACTTCTGTAGGTGCCCGCTCCGTTCATCATGCAAGGCGGCTGGCTGACCACAAGGGCTTTCCCGCAGACGCCTTTCCTCAATTCAACCAAAAGTACGGGGAACAGCTGCCCAACAGCGAGAAGTGGGAGGTGCCGGCCCCGTGGCAGGCCGGTCTCAGTAATGGCGCCATGGTTGGTGAACTGATCGGACTGCTCATCAATGGCTGGGTGTCTGAGCGGTTTGGTTACCGGTGGACCGTCATCGCATCCTTGATGGTTTTGAACGGGTGGATTGCTCTCTTTTTCACGGCGCAGAATGTTCAGACTCTCCTGGCTGCCGAGATTCTGTGCGGTGTGGTAAGGTTGCCCCGGATCGCAGGAGGAGCAAGAGACGCTGACAGTTTAATGATGTGGTCGTAGCCCTGGGGCATCTTCCAGACTCTTACCATCACTTACGCCTCCGAAGTGTGCCCGGTCGCTATGAGAGGCTATCTGACAACCTACGTCAACTTTTGCTGGGGACTGGGCCAGCTCATCGGCATCGGAGTCATCATGTCCATGCTGGACAGGCGGGACGAATGGGCCTACAGGATTCCCTACGCGCTGCAGTGGATGTGGCCGTTACCCCTCGCCGTGGGCATCTTCTTTGCCCCCGAAAGTCCCTGGTGGCTCGTTCGACAAGGCAAGTTGGACGAGGCCAAAAAGTCCCTGCTGCGTCTGACCAGTCTGAATCGGGAGGTGGACTTTGACGCCGACGAGACAGTCGACATGATGGTGCACACGACGGCTTTGGAAGAGAAGACGACGGCCGGCGCCAGCTACTGGGACTGTTTCAAGGGACATGACCTGAGACGGACAGAGATTGTCTGCATGGTGTGGGCCATCCAGAACCTGAGCGGCAACTCCTTCTCCAACTACTCGACCTACTTTCTGAAGCAAGCCGGACTGGGCGAAAGACAAGCCTACGGGTTTGCGCTCGGTCAGTATGGAATCAACATGGTGGGTGTGTTCAGCGCTTGGTTTCTGATGAGCCGTGGCATCGGTCGGCGGTCGCTCTACCTGTACGGGCTGTGCGGCTTGTTCGTCATGCTCATGGTTCTTGGCTTCCTCGGACTGGTGCCCGAAGAGCAGCGGAAGCAGGGCGCCATTGCGACGGGCAGCATCATGCTCGGATGGGCTCTCACGTATCAAAGCACGGTTGGAACTGTGTGCTACTCGCTAGTCAGCGAGATCTCGACCAGACGGCTGCAGATAAAAACTGTTGCCCTTGGCCGTGTTCTCTAGTGAGTAACCCCCGGTGCAAGCTTTCACGCACACTTGTTTCATACTGACGAATGACAGCATTATCGTGGGCATCATCACTGGGGTGCTCACCCCATACATGCTGAACCCGGGGGCCTGGGACTGGGCCAACTATGCCGGTTTTTTCTGGGGTGGATCGTGTTTCCTATGCATCATCTACACATACTTCCGGGTACCAGAGCCAACCGGACGCTCCTTTGCCGAGCTGGACCTTCTCTTCCAGAAGGGAGTCAGCGCCCGCAAGTTTTCCTCCACCAAGGTGGACGTCTTTGAGGACGAAATCAACGACGGGCTTGTGGATAGACTCCAAGCCCAGAGGGGGCCAGATGATGCCAAAGTAACTGGGAGGAAGGCGGCATAGTCGTCTTGATTTATGTGAGAAGGGCGTGCTTTGTTGATGGTGTGATGCCTTATGAGTGACGGAGGGAAGGATTGTACTGACAGCCCGTACACCAACGCCTATGGAAGTTGACGGAAACAGGCGGGGTGGCTGCCAGATACGGATTACACACACTAGTTTATGTGTATATAATATATAGTAGTAATGTTTTAAGTTCATGAGTTATTCTGGTGTCCAGAAGAGCAGGGCGCTGTGGAAGCATTAGGGTATGACGTATTTCGGGGCTCTCCCTTTGAAGGTAAGGTTTTGACGCAGGACCTGCCAGGCCATTTTTGGTACATTATGTGCATTATGTATGCGTCGAGGGCCCAATGACGTAGCCACCATGCTTGTACATACCTTGTAAGGAGAGGAAGCTCTGATTACCTCCAAAAGAAACACAGACTGAGAGACAGCAGCGATCTAGCCTGTCAACTATCTATGAATGAATAACTGGTATCTTGATCGTCGAGCTCAAGGTTCAAGGCTCTTGAAAACAGTGAGTAGGTATCTAATGGCCGTTGACAACTGCCTGGTAGGACCATCGAAAGGCTTGGCAGCTGCAGATGACCCCACCTAGGGAGAAGGGTCACCCCACCTCTCATGAGCAACGGCCACTCCCCATGCCGCTGCCTGCCACTGGCCACTGCCACTCACCAGTCAAAGACAGACAACCCGCCCTATTCCATCATCTACGACGACGAGCTGTTTATTTCCAACTCAACAACCCGCACGCACATTCAAGCCGACCAAGACCTCACAAGGACAGCAAACAAGCGCCGAGCCATGTCGACAAGCCCGACATCCCATACCCCGCCTAGTCACAATGCTCCGCGACCGAAAGGTATGTCCTGTTTCCTAGTTACCTACCTTGCCCTGCGCTTCTATGTCCAGTCCCCTACTAATCACCATGTTTCTCTGAGAATAGGCATCTTGAAGAACTCGTACCGCGGCTCCCCTCCCATCTCGCCTGTCGACCAGCCGACTCCCAGCTTCCCACACAGCCACACTCCTGACCATCCCCTCACCCCCAAGGAGGCCAAAGAGCTCACCATTGTCAACACGCAATACAATGCCGGGCACCGCCGCTCCTCGTCTGTGGCCGGCACTCGTCCGGGCGTCTTTCGTGCCCGCACACCATCATCGGCCCATGGGGGCGACTCGGAAGAGCAGAGCCAGCGTCTCAAATGGGACGAGGCCAACCTCTACCTCACCGAGCAAGAGCGCACTGCCACCATGAAAATCAACGAGCCCAAGACCCCTTACGCCAAGCATTATGACCCATCCGAAGACCCTTCCGACGACGACGACGTCGAGATGCCGGAGCCGCTGGATCCAGGCAGGATTGATCTGGACCGTGTCGACGGCGTACCCCCTACCCATCACGGCTCCAAGCGCAAGACTGGCACCGGTGGGACTCCAGGATCAACAGAGGATGACATTCCCGGCCTGTCGCTGGGTGAGCCCGAGGAGGAGGTGCCCGAGCACGAGTTTGGTGATTTGGCCAGCAAGAGACCGAGGGCGGTGCACGTGGACAGCAACGGGAGCATGCATGACACGGATGGGGAAGAGTATTTGGTGGGTATGAGCGCCGAGGAGAGGGAAAAGCATCGCAAATTCGAAGAGCTCAGGAAGAAGCATTACGAGATGAAGAATGTGGCCTCGTTGCTGGGGCATCCTGAGGACCTGGAGGATGCTGACGAAGGAGAAGACGACGAGGATGACGATGAGACCAAGAAGGTGCCACCGGTTCCTGCGGTGCCTACTGCAGGAACCCAGGGAGGTTTATAAACAATTGCAAGCGTTATTTGTCTCTTATTCGTTTTCTGTTTTCTCCCTCTCTCCTTTTTTTTTTTTTTTTTTTGTTTTTTTGCGATTCGCTGTCCTCGACGGCGGGGCTGTGGAGTTGAATCATGACGGGGAGCATTTGGCGTAGGCACGCTGGACATGAGGAATGGTGGTTCTATGCATATTCAACTTGTCTCTAGGGCAGGGAGGTATCGTTGACGGTCTAATTCGATTGCTTTCGTCGCGCTTCTTTGTTCTTCAGGCTGTATATGGCCACTGTCTATGACCCATGCCAACTACCTTACTCCAATTCCCAGCGCACCAGTTACGCTCCATGCCTGTCCTGTTTGCGCCAGGCCATTTGATTGTGAGAAATGGCGCGACCCGTGCTGTGTCTGTGTCTCTGCTCTATGGTCATTCTTCAGAGCAGCCCCTTGCGGGCTAACTCGACCTTCCTCGCCGCCTCTCCGGCCTTGAAGCCTCCGTGGGACACACATATCCTTTGACCCTCAGCCAGTTCAACCTTTTCTTCGTGCGCAGGCCAGGGGCAAGGGCAGTGGTGGGGGAAATGTACACAGGCTGTTAAAAGACGGATTAGCGAGCAATCCCACAAGGTAGGCTGACAATGTTGGAAATGGCAACATACCAAGCGTATCGGGACAGAGGTAGTTGTCGCAATGAAGACGGGCATACTGGGCGCGATATCCTGCCCCATCGCTCGGCGCATTCTGCTGTTGTCGCTGGTGCCCGCCATGACCGTGACCGTGATGTTGCTCCTGTTCGCCGCCACCACCTCCGCCAAACATTTGGTCAAAGAAGCCAAACTGCGCCGAAATGGGAGTGAGCATGGTCGCGAGGGCGAGCAGAATCAAACTAAGAGAGCGCATGTCAAACGTATAGGCACTGATGGGCAGTGCGAGTGGTCAAGGGGAGGATTCTAATGTTCAATGCGAATGGCGCAATCTCCCCATTGGAAGGGATCAGGAGTTTGAGGTCATCATGGATTCGGACAGCTGGTCTGTTAGTCTTATCTTATCAGTAACCAACTGGTTGGCTCTGGCAAGGTCTTGGCAGGAATCTGGATGATGACTAAGCATGGAAAACTTGCACCCCGGCAAGTCACCCACCGGTGCCGAGCAAGCTACGGACAAGGTCCAGGAAATACTCTATACCACACCGTCGTCGCCCGTCAGTCCCGCACCGACCGACCCCGTCATTTTGCCTCACCGATCTGCCAGCAGTGAGCGTGCGATTGGCCGTGACCAGTCCGCTGCAGAGAGGTTCCAATGAGCTTCGTACAGCTGCAGCGGCCCCTTCAGAGGGGGGCTGCTGCCTCTTTGCGTGGCACCACCACCACGACTACTGTCACCGGTCTCGAAGAGCGATTCACAAGGCTAAGGATCACGCTGCAACAGACCAATGCCGCCCTCCAGGGAACACGTTATGCCTCGGTCAAGTCGCAGGGTGCCTACAGGATCCCTAATAAAAAGACAATAGCCAAGAAGATGGGCGCCAAAAAGACTGGTGGTATGTTGACGAAAAAGCAGGAGGCTATGGAGCGGGGGAGACTGCGCCGGTAACTAATCTCTGGCGCCCGCTAGATCAATATGTCATTCCCGGCAACATCATCTACAAGCAGCGTGGTACAATATGGCACCCAGGCGAGAACACAATCCTCGGAAGAGACCACACCATCCACGCCGCTGTTGCTGGCTACGTCAAGTACTACCGCGATCCCGCCCGTCACCCAACACGCCAGTACATTGGCGTCACCTTCAACCGTGAAGACAAGCTCCCCTATCCCCCGGGCGCCCCCCGCCGGAGGAAACTCGGGTTGGTGGCTGTCCCCCGCAAGACCGAAGAGGCCCCAACCACCCCCGATGCTCTCTCGCCCAGCGGCATTCCCCTAGCAGTTACTCGTCTTCCGCAAATAGAGATGTCAGAGGAGACGGCTCCAGAACCGGTCGAGGCCGCCGTCAGAGAGTCCGAAAAGACACCCCTCAAGGACGGCAACTCGATCATCTCCGCCCTCATCAAGGACAAGCTTCACAAGAGACGGTTGCAACAAGCCGCCGCCGAGAAGGAAAAGAAGCGCCTGAAGAAGGAGGCCGAGATCCGCATGAACACGCGTGTGTTGAGACTGCAGGACGACTACAGCTATCGTGAGAGCAACTGGGAGATTGGTCGCCTGGTGGGTGACGTGGGAACCATCCCAGGATCGGAAAAGATGGATTCCCGAAGGGCCAAGTTCCGCCTGCGTCGCAGAAAGAGAATGTGCAGCTTCAACGCCATCAAGAAGCGCAAGGCTGCCAAGGCTCAGCTCAGGGAGGAATACAAGGCTCGTGTGCGGGCAAACCGTGAGAAGAGGATTGCCGAGAGACGCGCGTTTGCCGCCAAGGTCAAGGCTGGTGCTGCTGCGAAGGGAGGAGACGCTTCCGGAAAGGTTGAGGCGTGAACCATCTGTAATGATAGGAAATGAAATGTACATTATTGTCAAGAGTAAAGCATGAGAGGGAAGTGGAAGCATACTCTACTGGTATGCGTCTCATTCCCTCCCTCTCCTTGTTGAGCATTTTGCGGACCTGGATGCAGGGGACTCAAGAGGACGGGGTATTGGAATGTGAAGAGCCCGATAGGGACAACATCTCGCCTACAACAGGTGTGCATTGTGCCCACCTTCTGGTCCTTCATGATTCATCAGTCTCGTCATGTACAGTCCCGGCCACATCATGGCTTCTCAGACGCCTACGAGAGCCGGTAGTTGCGCCGCCGACGGCGGCAGTCCACAACTCTCTGTTCCTTCTTCTGGGGAGCTGGAAGAACATGAGTCTGGTCCATCAACGCCAGCACGCAAGAAGGTTGTTTTTAGCGGCGAGAACCTGAGGTATAACAAAAAGATCTTGAAGCAGGCCCGTGAGCGGAACAGGGCCAGCAGCGACAGAGGCAGCGGCCGTGCCCGGAGTAGGAGCAGAAGCCCACAGAAGCAGAAACAAGGTAAATACCATTTCCCTGTCCTGTAGATGTGTTGAAGCGGCAGACTGGCTGACATGGTTTAGTCGTCTTGGTAGAACAAGGCGACGCGCATGAACAGATCAAAAACAAGCTGCAGCCTCGGGGCCCTTCCAAATCACCAGCTCCTGTTGCTTTTCGGACGGCATATTATTTTGGGATCAGGGGTGGGCCAACCTATGCCAGACCAGTGGTAGGAACTGGTCTTCACCAGCACCGGCAAAGCCCTGACAACGAATCTCATCTCTCCTCAACAAGCGCCACCAAGAAACGGAACCTCGAAGCCCCCCCTGAAATCTTCCCAGCTCCCAAACGAAGATTGCTTCCACATTTCTTGCGGTCTCCATCTCCATCTCCGCACGTGTCGCATCGTCAATATGAGCGCATCGCCCTCGAAAACAGCGAAGACGAACTTGGTCAACTAGATGAGCTAGGTGATCCAAGTCCAAGGCCAACCAGAAGACTCATTCTACCAACCTCTAGTCCTTCTTGGGCCAGAAAGTCACCAGTGCACCAATCCCGCTCTCCACAACGACAACGGCCCTCTACCAGCACCGGCTCAACAGCCGCGACAGATGACGGGAAACAAGTTGCTCGTGCCTCACATGACTCCAACGGGCATGAAAATGGCGAGCTTCCCTTGTTGGTTTCGAACGCGAGACATGTCACGCCGCCCTCACGAGCTGGAGTTCCCCGACAGGAAAAGGCGGTCTCTGTGTGGCGGTTGGCGAGCCCACCCAAGGTCAACATTAAACAAGTGCCTGAGCCAGAAGTTGTCAGGGTAGACAGTGACAATACCAGCGATCAAAGCGGCAATGGCGATGCAAGGTCAGAAGACGATTTTCGCATTCAAGGCGAAACACAGCGGCGGTTCAAAAGGGCCAAAGAGGCCAAGACCGAGCAGGAGGTTAGAGGTAACCAACCGCGGACAGTGGAAGAGACAGCTATCCGTGTTCCCACTCTCCCGAATGGTGAGTTTCGACAACGGGATACCTGCAAGAGCGTCAATGACAAAGCTGCAAAGCCAAGCGAGACTAGTCCCATCACCATGTGTGGTGAGCGGCATTATTCTCAGTGGACGGGTACATGGGATGGCGAAGCACGCAGGATTCCCGGAGCCGGTGCCCTTTTCCCTGAGGGATACGAACCACGAATCAATGAACCATATCCATGGATTTGTCCAATTCGGGATTGTCAAACTGTGTTTCCAGAGGCCTGGGCCCTTGGGGGGCATTTCAGCGTTGGTTACCCACCTGTGCCCGTGATTTTTATGAGGAGTGATGTTGCTGACCTCTTTCCAGGCAAGTCACTGGGCTCTTTTACTCAACGATAACCGCGATGGCACCATGTCCATTCTCGGGAAGCGAAAACTCCCTGATCCTAGGACAGGGAGAATGCCCGCGCTGGTGATCTCTCGCCAACCACTCGATCCAGCAACTGCCCCCCCAAAAGCACCTCCTCGACAACCGGGAAGGAGAAAGAAGACGGAGAAAAGAGTTCCCCTGTCCGATGTGACCCCCAAAAGGCCCAAAGAGACACCGGTGCCAGTCCCTAACCCCTACAACACGCCTGGACGACGGTCAAACAGTTTTCTTGTCGTCGACCTGCCTGCCCGTAGCAACACGTCGTCCAGACATTTTCATGTCCCTGATCAACATGCAAAAACACCTTTACATGACAAGAGCACACCCACCGCGAGCAGTGGCCTCCACTCTTCAAAAGAAACTAGGCCTACTGAAGCACCGAATACCAGGCCAAGTAAAGGTGGCTTTTCAGGAGCTAGCGGCAGCGACGAAGCCATCTTCGCTTTGCCCACCCGTAAATCCTTGAAAGGAAAAGGTGGCGTTCCGGTATCATCACGAGCAGCAAGGGCCCAAGTGTCACAAGAATGCCTGACAAAGGCTGGTGTTGGCGGCACTGCCCAAGGCCTAAAGGAGAGCATCACATCCACCAGAAAATCTGGATGGTTGTCCAAGTCTATGTCATTGACACGCCCAACTCAGCAAGCTCCAGAACGTCCTGCCCAAGCCGTCTCTCGGTCCAAGCATTCGGCAGCGAAGCGGTCAGCATCAACAGCCTCGAAGACCTCCAAGTCAACTCCAGCCTCTGTTGGGGCAAGGCCGCAACGATCAGGAAGGGGTGCACCGCCATTGTCATCTGCCTCTTCTTCTTCTGCCTCTTCCCCATCGCGGGGAGTTGTACCACCTTACACAATGTCAGACTGGGAGATTGCCCCCGGCCGTATCCGGGTAGGGATGGGAGACAAATACGAGAGTAAGTCAACCTCTGATCCTGTTCTTACTTCTATTCCTCTCTGCGCACCAGGAAGCTGACGGCACACGTCATGCAGATGTGGCCTTTTCCTCGACCTATCTCGCCCACTCTTCGATGTCTGCTCTTCCTCTGACCCCAACTATTTGCTTTCAGCTGCTCACCATCCAGCCGGGAAGCAGTGTCCACTGGCGGCCCTCTACGGCCCCAGGCAGTGTCCAAGAGGAAGAGCCCAGGACGAGGGTTTGTTCGGTTGCCCAGGGTATCGTCAAAGTGAAGCTCTGTGGTCAGGAATTTTCATTGGGCCCGAATGGCATGTTCAAAGTGCCAGCGGGGGAAAACTGCGAGCTGGGCAGCGTGTGTTACGGGGGGGCGGTGGTTCATATCACTTGTGTAAATGAAGGGGAAGAGTACTAGCGATCCAAGTAATTAGTTGTTTTATGTTGTACCTATTTATGCACATAGCAATTTACACCTGAATTCTATCTGCTGTCCTGGCAGGTGACTCGACCCATGAAGCAACCCATTCCCTCCCCGGAAAGAAAAACAACAGAAAAGCAGAGCAAAAAAACAACGCCAACCACTCCCATTATTCCCGTGTCTTGTAAGAGTGGGTATCAAACTGCGCCTTTCTTTGCCTCCAGAGCCATGTCTCTCCCAGGTCGCGTACCATCCAACCTTTGCGTAATGACATGGAAAGAAAAACCCAAACGCCCCAAAATATGCATGATTGTCCTTGACTCGGTCGTGCTGGCTCTCGGCCCGGACCTAACGAAAGATCTTCCTCCCTCCTGTCCTCGTGGGAAATCGTTCAACGCCGCTCTGCTGTTGCTGATGCCAAATCTGCTGCATACCCACTCCGCCGCCTTCCAAGCCTGTCTTGTAGCGACGCATGGCTTCCCTGATGTGCTCTGGTCTTAGCGGACCACGCCTCTCCTCGACAGGTGCGGCTGTGTTGCTGGCCGTGTTGTCGGCAAGCCCCAGCTGTCCAGAGTGAGGCACACCGCTGCCTTCTCCGGTAGTGGCCGGTGATGGAGCAGCCGTGGCAGGCGGCGTGGGCAAATCCGTCTGCTTCTCCCCCGTCTTGTCAATCCACTCCCCTTGCACCCTGCGGGCATTCTCGATGATGTCGCCGATAAAGACCTTGGCCACAGCACGCATGCCAATCACAACGTTCTCTGCTACGGACTGCGAGATGGTAGCATTGACAAGCTGTAGGAGAAGGGTTGTTAGCATGCGGACTTGTCCAAAAAGAAAGCGAGACGGGGCTTTTTGCGATGCTTACTCTCCTCACGGCAGCCTTACTCAAGTTGGCGGCTCGCCAATTTTCGAATCTGTCAAATTGCTCGTCGTTGAAGGCGCCGATCAACATACCCCTCTGTCTATGTTCCTCCTCCTTTTGTTCTTTGGTCAGGGCAGCGCCAGTAGCGGCCACCTCTGTGTCCTCCTCCTCGTCGCCGTCTCCGTCCTCACCTGCACCCCCCGCGGCGCCGGGTGCAGTGCTCTTTCCGCCGGCACCGGACACCACACTGCCGCCAGGGCCAGCAGTTGATTTGGCGGTTCCGCCAACTACCGAGGGAGTTTGTTCGCGTGCCTTATCGGCCTTTGACTTGCGGCCGCGCTTCTTCTTGGGGGGGCCGGTAACGCTCATGCTGACTTGACTGCCCGAAACGTGGCTCATGGCGTCAAAATCGACCGAAGGGGATCGCGCACCAGCAAGGTCGTCTGGCGGGGGGAACGAGGTTTGGCGAAGCGGATGGGCAGATCCGGGGATGGACGAGATGGACATGGTGGAGGCTTTGCGTCGCTTGAGAGCGGGCGACTGGACGCTGGCGCCATCGGCGGTGCGCTTTTTGTTGGGAGTGCTGTTCATTGCGACGCTGTTGTTGCGAATGGACGTCGAGGGGGGAGATGGGAGAGGTGAGAGGTGGGAGCGAAAGAGAAGGTGAATACGGCCCAAAAGATTAGATTGGCCGCGTCGTTCGCGAAGAGGTCCGAGCTCTTGATTGCTGTCTGGTAGATACCTCCTCCTACCTAACCTAACACAGGGACCTGACCTGGTAGAGATTGGCTCCCAGGCCTTTGGTATATGAGGTCCCTTTGCAGATGGAATATTTTACTTGCCTGGCAAGGTGAAGTCGAATAGGTATCCTTTTCTGAGTTGGTCGAACTTCACCAAAGCTCCAAAGTTGTTGTAGAGATAATAGATTGGACATCGCCAAGACCATGGCCCGTGCCACTGCTGCGCCAAGGTCCACTTCGCTCTGCGCTAAGTAACCCACCTGCCCCGCGTCACCAGGGGGGTGTGGGGCAGCGGGACACTGCAGCGTCTGAATGTCAGCGATTTATTTTTTTCGAGAGGGCAAGCTCACTTTTCGGTCCGCGAACAGGTGGACGCAACACAATAGGTCAATTGAGTGCCATAAGTCGCAAAACAATGCTAAGGGGCAATGAAGTGATGTGCCAGCCACAGCTAATCGCCAGCACCTGTGCCTCTGCATACCTTGTCCATCCCATATACCTTACACGTTCATGTATTCATTCTGCCCCGATTTGCTGCAGACTACATACCCTGACGTCAAACCTCCCACTCCTCTCACCCAGCCTGCTAGGTGTCGTCCGCCACGTTCGGGTATCCACAGAAATATCAGAGTTTGGGATCCAGGGTCCATGAAAAAAAACTCGCCGAGCAGGGGACCGGAGTCTGCCAATCCTGACTCGACCGCTTGCGCCATCGGCCTGCCATTGTATCATCTGTCTCCCCCTTCTACCAAACAAGCAAACGAGTTCCCCCATTTTTCCTTTCAACGGCGACACATTTCCGCCCACTCCGAATCATCCATCGTGTATGCGCATTCCGTCATGGTTCAGTTCGCATCGCCCTCTCGCAGCCAGAGCCCCTCGGGTGCCTCGTCCGCTGGCGAACCCCGGCGCACCAAAAAGTCCAAGGGCAAAGATGGCAGCAGCAGCAAGAAGAAGCGCCCCAGCGCCGCCGACGACCAAGATAGAGATGACACCAAGGCCAGCGGCAACGGCACCAGCGTCCGTCAGAACGCCGAGAGACGTTCCAGCATGAGCAAGCCGGCCCGCGACTTCCGGGACCAGCCCGAACCCACGCCAAAGAAGAAGAAGAGAAAGACATCGACCTCGTCGGCGGCCGTCCCTGAGCCCGCCATCGCTCCGACACCGGAAGAGGCTGGCGAGACGTCGACCCGCTCGCCGAGCCCCCTCATCGACTTTGACGGCCTCTCCCGCCCCAGCCGCGGCACTCGGGAGAGGTTAGACGAGTCCCCCGAGCAGAAGGAGCTGCGCATGGAGAAGATGAAGGGCGCCGTCCGCACCCTCCTCGAGTGCATCGGCGAGGATCCCGACAGGGAGGGTCTCCTGGCCACGCCCGAGCGCTACGCCAAAGCCATGCTCTTCTTCACAAAGGGCTACCAGGAAAACGTGCGAGACATTGTCAACGGCGCCATCTTCCAGGAAGGCCACAACGAGATGGTCATCGTCAAGGACATTGAGGTGTTCAGCATGTGCGAGCACCACCTGGTGCCCTTCAACGGCAAGATGCACATTGGCTACATCCCGTCCAACGCCGTCATTGGCATCTCGAAGCTGCCGCGCATCGCCGAGCTGTTTGCTCGCCGCCTGCAGATCCAGGAGCGCCTGACCAAGGAGGTGGCGCACGCCATCATGGAGGTGCTCAAACCCCAGGGTGTGGCCGTGGTGATGGAGTCGAGCCATCTGTGCATGGTCATGAGGGGGGTGGAAAAGACGACGACGAGCACCATCACCAGCTGCGTCCTGGGGTGCTTTGAAAGGAAGGAGAAGACGAGAAACGAGTTTCTGAGCCTGATTGGCGTCAACCGCCGGTAAAACAACTGATACCCTTTGCGTTGACAAGGTGTTGCTGGCTGTTGTGATTCTTTTCAACAAAAGAGCAGGATGGGTGGCAGCGATGCCTAGTACAAATATTCGGGAATACGGTGTGGTATTTTGCTTTTTCTGTACCTTCCCTTTTGTTTTCTCTCTCTTTTTTTTCCTCACAAAAGAAGATACGTAAACATGGCGTTTTGGGAAAGACGGTCACGGTCTGTACACGAGAGCGCGATGCAGCGCAGCCGACACAGCATGGAGCATTTGTTTGGGCGGGCGCATCTACATGCATGATTTATTTGTACGTATGAGGTGATGATCTCAACATCGCATCTGCCATCATTCAACATAATGTAGCCTGGCACGCTACGGACAGGAGGGATAGGATAGCATTCAATAGCATACGATCAACAATGTGTTGTTGGCATGGGCATGAATAAATCATGACACTCTTCGCACCACCTTCCCGACCTCGCCCCGTTCCACCGCCTCCACTCTGTCCCTGACCACCTTCCACACGCCTTCGGCAACCTCCTCCACACTTGCACTGGCATCTACCACATGCAAGTCCTCCTCCTCTTGTCTGAACCGGTGCTCGACCCCTCCACTGATATCCGGTGTTTGTGCGCTGGGTGGACCGACAGCAACTTCCTCCTCTCCTCCTTTGGTGCCTGCACCTTCACCAGGGGCACACTCCAGAGCAGAATGCGGCGCCCCCACGATCTTTCCCAAGCTCAAACCCCAAAACAACTCTCTCACCCTCCTCTGCATCTCGGCCTTCTCGTACACCTCACCTCCCCAGCCTCCCCTCTTCTTGGCCTCTTGCTCGTCCAGGTCCAGGAACAAGACCAAATCTGGTCTTGGGAGCCCGACCTCTGGCGAGCGAGCCCACGAGAGCGGTAAAAAGGGGTTGTGCTTGGCGGCCGAGTATACGATGCCGCTGTAGTAGTAGCGGTCGCAAATGACTGTCGTGCCATGCGACAGCAACGAGGTGATGAGCGACGCGGCTTCCCAGCGGTTGGCCGAGAAGAGCAGGTGAATCACGTGGTCCGACATGGTTGTTTGGGAAGTCAGGTATGAGTTAATCATCTGGCCAATCGGGGTTGTGCGGTCTGGTTTGGTTTGGCCATGTTAGACGGCCATGCTTCTTTCTCTCAGCAGATACGTACCGGGAAAGCGCATCACTTTTACGGATTTGCCCAGTTCAACAAACCGCTGCTCCAAAAGCTTGACCTGGGTTGTCTTGCCTGACCGGTCCAGGCCTTCCAGGACGATAAGGGCGCCCCGGGTGGGCTTGGTGTTGCCATCGTTTGCTGATGTCATTGTGAATGGACTCGAGGGCAGACACAAATGTCGTTCGTCCGTGAGGTGAGGTGAGGTCGGCTTATGACGGAAAGCCCAAAGCCAGAGCTTCTGAGGAGCATCTGGAAGCTTGGAAGGCTTGGCAACCTGGAAGTGCAGTAGCAGATGGCTTGACGGGTGCCAGCTGGCAGCTGCTGCGGCATAGGTTCTTGAAGGAACAAATCATGAATGGGATGAGTGAGGCACTTCGCCCGACAGTTGCAGTAGTGTCAGCCTGTGGAATGATGGTTCCTATTGCCTACATACATTATCCTTCCTGTATGTGCCATCCCAGGGGGGTTGCGCCTCATCGTCAGGGGAAAAACAGGTGACGTGAATCGGGTTCGATGAGCGAGGTACATAGGTCGGGTGTGCAGTGTGGATTCCAGTTTGAAGGTGAGGGGTTCATCGTTCCCCTCTCAAAGGTGCTGGTCGAGTTAAGCTTGCTCGCTTGCCACCAAACCCCCGCCATGATCAACCGATCAAACGGCCACTATAAAAAGAAAGGAAGAAAGCCTGTGCGAAATCCCCCCGTCTGGGTAGCCGCTTGTTTCTTCTGCCCAACTCCTCTTTTGACGCCTTGGCAAGAGATGGTGGCAATGGAAACATCTGCCAGGGCGCAGTCTCATCGAATGGGCCAGTTGAAACCTGAGGCCGTAGCGACTCAACCAGCCACCCGAATATCTTTGTTCAGGCGTCGAGGGCATATCTCGAGTTATTGTATGTAGGCAGGCAGAGACACAGAGATAAGTCAAAGGGAGGGAGGAAGGAGGGGTGGCCGTCTCACCTGTGTCTTCTCCAAGTTCACAGTGCCGGCCCGGGCAGAATCGGCACGGCCTCTTAAAGATGCGACGCGGATCCTGTACTTGCTGGACAGGGAGTGAGCAGTCCAAGACGCGTTAATTCGTTTGTGGATTGGCGCATTGTGTACACGGCGTCCGCTGAAGAGCCGCTGTCCAATGGCAGGCCTTGTTGCCCATGCACGCTCCTGCAAGCACTTGTGGGCAACTTTTGTTCCCGTGGACAGCGCTCTCCCTTGCGCTCCAGAGTCCAATTAGAGCCACCCAACGGCACGGCCGCTACGCGTAGAGTTTTACCTCATCTCTCTGTTCGCCCACAGCACAGTACGGTATCACCAGCACCCGACGAAGTACCTACAGGAGTACCTCTAGCAGTACCTCGAGTACCACCTCACTTCGAGCCAGGTCCTCCCTCGCGCTGAGGTGCCCTCCCCCCCACCAGTCAAGGCCGCCCGCCGCCCTCCACCACCACTTCCAGGGCAACTACCTACCTACCTACCTTACCTCGTCCTCCCAGCTTGTCCATCGCCGTTGGGCTACAGCTTCCCTTTCTCCCCTCTTCAGTTCCCATCTCTCTCTCTTGGCCGACATCTCTCAGTCTGGTCCCCCTTGTCCAACCTGTCCTGCCACAGCAGCAGCTCTAGGTAATCTGCCAGCGCTTCCTCTGACATCTCACCCAACCTCAGATATCCGGCATCGGTCTGGGTCACCTCGCTGCCAGTCGCTTCTCGCACCCCAACGTCAAACAACCAGACAAACCGGAACAAGAGCGACCGCTTTTGCCCGGCCAGCCCATCCATCCGTCTATCCAGCATACTATCGCGTCTGGCCATCTCCCACCAGACCAGCTTGCGCAATAAGAATAGTGCGCAGCCCTCGCTCGCTCGCCCGCCCCGCCAGTGTCGCCTCTCTTTCCCTCCTGTTCCCTTCGCTCTGCATTTCCTGTTCTTCTGTCACGACAGCAGGACAGGTCAAATTTCAGAAGGAACGCTGAGCAGAGAAGCAAACAGGCAAATCCTGAGCATTTGTTGGCTTCTGTTGCCCTTGCCTGGGTTCACCAACGATTGATCGCCTTGATCGAGTCGGGCATTCGATTAGGCTTGGACACACTAGCCAGCGCAGCACAACACAGCGTCACCCCTTTCCCTCCTTCTCGGGTGGTGTGCTACGACAATCCCACCATGGCGACTGTTAGCCGTCAGCCGTTTGCTCCTCTTGACCACACGCGGTTAAAGACACTGACGAGCCTCAAGAACCGACAGAATGGTATGCTGCTGCTTCTGTCCTGCATGTCCTAGGCTTCATACTGACCGTAACAGCCCTCTCCAACTCCCCAGCTAAGCGCAAGGCTTCCGAGGTGGTGGACGCCGACGACTCTGAAAATGTCGACCCAGTGCTCTTCTCCAAGCGGTCAAAGGGAGCCGGCGCTGATGGAACCGGGTTCGTGAAGCCCTTATTCAAGCCTTCCACTTTTGTGATGACCAAGGCGGCTTCCACCTCCAACCTCCACGGCGCTGCCAGTCTTCCCCCAAGCAAGCTCTCCTCTTCCTCCAAGCCGCGCACCTTTCTTCAGCCAAAATCACCAGCTTCCCGTCTCAGCACTACCGGCACGCCCAGTCCCCTAACCGCCCCAGCTGGCCGTTCCCCAACCCGCGGCTCCAAGCGGATTGGCATTCTCTCTAAGCGCCGCCATACGCAGCGGATTGATCCCCCATCCTTTGGCCTCGGCGCCGGCTCCTCAGTTCCCTTTTCGCTCGATGCCGCCCTCAAGGGCTCCATCCCAGCCTACTCTGGCTCTCTGCGGACCTCTGCCGCGCCCGGCCCCGCTGCTGCCCCTGCCTCTTCGGACTCCTTCCTGCTGTCCACGGGCGGCATGCAATCCTCCTGGTTCTTTGACATCCACGAAGACACCCCGGAACAGGAGATGACGAACCTTCTTCAGCACGGCACCTGCACCCTTGACATTAGCAGCGACGAGGAGTCTGAGCGACGCCAGAGTCGCGACCGAGCCGAGGGCAGAGACAAGGAGAACATTCCCCCTGCCGACGATATCTCCCAGACCTCTGCTCGACAGGCCGCCAGAGTGGGCGACGTCGATGACATGATCATTGAGAAGCAGAGGGGTGCTCTTGCTGAAATGAATGCCGCCGACTACTACGCCGAAGGATGCACCAAGGACAGCGTGGTGCTCGTCCCCTGGGATGAAGAAGAAGCTGAGACGGTCGTTGGGGACAACGATCAGTACCAGCAGCAGCACCAGCACCAGCACCACGTCCTGCCAGAAGAGGGCGAGCAACAATCGTATGGCGGAGAGCAGCGGCAGAAACGGACGACACTTGCCGACGTAGAGTCTGTAAACGTCGACGACATCATGGGCAACAGCGACGGAACTTCCCTCAAAGCGGCGGTGCTGGAGCCTATGGAGGGAACGGGGGAGAGCTTTGAGCTGTGGGAGAGCACCTCAGCCAAAGAAGAAGGTGATGCTCCTGCTTCTCCTCTGCCCATGGCTGACGAGAGCCATGAAAATCGAGTAGTCGGAGTTGAGTGTGTGGCCTAGAGAGTCCGGTGCGCTTTTCTTTTTCTGTCACTTTCTTTGCTCTTGATATCGCAGAAGGTGTTTATTGGGACATGCGTTTGGTGCTGCGTTTGTTGTTTTGTCTCTTTGTGGAGTCGCTTTGATGTTTTGCGTTTCCGAACGCCCATATAGCTCGGTCCGAGAGCTGGGAGGTTCTGCTCTGATGGCTGGGTTGGCACAAGGGAATGGGAATGCTGCTGTTTTAGGAGTCTATTTTCGGCTGGCTGGAAAGGAGGCTTGGTCCGGCTCCCGTCATCTGTCCCATGGCTTGTTAGACTGGCTTGGGAAGGATGCACGGGCACATTGTTCCAGACACAACCAAGTTGGCATTTGTGGAAATGGATCTGGTGTTTTCTTGGTGTTGGGGTCTACCTGGGCGGGCGGAACTTTTGTTGACTTGGGCAAGGTATGATGGATGGATGTCTGGTGTTATGTACAGTTGGATGGTGGGATGGGTAAACTAGCAACTTTATGGTACCGGCACAGGTAATTTATTCACTTTCAACCATTGACCCAGATTTCGTATGATACCTCATACATCGTGCGAGTGAGCATTTATTACATTCTGTCCTGACGGGTCAGCACATGTCAACTCGACACCCACTCGCTTTTTGGGCCACGCCGAAGCAAGATTACGGCAAAGGAAACAGTAAGCTAACGAGGCGTTGTGCTGTTTCTTCGTTATTTCGTCTAAACCTAACTGAACTATGTTCACCTTACCCTGAATCTGTTCTTGCTGTCCCACGAGACCCCAGAGGGACAGAGAAAAGACTCCATCGATGCGGGTGACAGGCCAACCGAGACCAGACTAGCTGTGACTTTCAAAGGTAGTTCATTATAGAGTCCTAGAGGAAAATAAATGTAGCTCAGCCGACTTAACGTCCCAACAACGAGACAAGACGGAAGCCTGGTGTCAGATTTTCAACGGGAACATCTACTGAGTGCGTCCTGAGAGCGACCTATGTTGGATTGGAACGTTGTTTTGTGAAATACTCCTGGTTGATATATAATCAGATAATGCCAGAAGATTACAAATGCTGTTTGCATGTGGATGGGCGGCCAGTGTGCTTGTGCTGGTACGTCTCGTCGTTGCTATTGCTTAGGGGGTCAATGGATACCCAGTAATTCTTTGGTCATCTAGCTAGACACAGACTTTGGATGGAACATAAGGTAGTGTTTTTAGACCAAGCCCGAATTGATGGACGACAAGCATCCGCCATCAAGTAAGAACTGATATCTCTCACCCTCAGCTACTATCATAGCTCCAGCCTTACAGATATGTACTTTCCATTCCTAACCAGACCTTAGCACTATGTTGCATAGACCACAGACGTTTATCGTCGCTAGGAGTAAGCAAATAATTCATTACAAAAAGATATATGCACGATAGCTAGATGAAATTGTGAGGACTATGAGAACAGCACGTAACAGGGCCAACAAGAGCGAAAGACTACCCAAAAAGTAAAAATGAATGGTCACAATCTCTCCCGCCGGGAATTGAACCCGGGTCTCGAGCGTTGTTTTCTATCCAGGTGGATATTGACAAGCTCACATACTGACCACTATACTACGGAAGATTTGAAGTAGGTGTGGACACCTGTCGTAGCTTGGCGTTGACGAGAGCGAGCCGGGATAGTGACATTATAAGGGACACATGATTATCTAACAAGCAACAAAAGATATCTATTCTAGTTCCCAAAAACCAACTTTACCGGTGTGATCTTTGCATCACTGTGGACGTTACTACCCAGATTGGCAGGACACACCTTAGATCTATTTCAAGAATGCCCGATAACAGCTCTCTGGGGCTACAACCTCGACGAGATGTCCGAGCTGCTTCCCCAGACGATGATTAACCCCAGAGATGGACATTGATCAGTGGAACATTTTGGACAAGATCCCTGTCATGACTCCAAAGGTAACTGGGATCAATGTTCCCATCACCCAAGCCGTAATCTTCCCGCCTATCAATTTGGCTGTACGTCTCTCGCATAGACCGCAGCAGCCAGGTGTGTTCATTATGCTGTCCACCGACATTCCCCTCTGTCTCCCAGTCCTGCTTTTGGCCGTGTCCCCTTCTGCTGTTTCACCTAGTGGCGATGGGGGTTTATTTGTGCTTGGGGCCGTGTGAATATCATGTTTCAGATTTGAGCAAGGCTCTGTCTCGGCTGCTGAATAGAGAGCGGGTTGCTCCTGCTGGGCTTGATGGAGAGGGCTGGGAAGCATCAAAGAACAAGGTTCGGTTGATCCATCAGGGTGGGTGACCGAGAGCGTGGGAGTGCTCGCTCCCGTTCCAGCTGCATGATAAGGCGTTGATGGCAACGGCAATATTGGATCGTCTGGTCCGCCAAAGGCGTTTACAAAGTGCACCGATATTGGCCGGCTTGAAAATGATGAAGGGGAAGGGGGAGGAGACCGGCGAGTTGTCGGTGGACTGCATGGTCGTGGAAGGGGCTCAGACTCTGGAGACTCCGTTGAAGAGGGTGCAGATGGCATGCGCACCCTATCGTAGCTCCATCTGTCAACGTTCAAAAGATGGTTGTCTGGAAGATAGGCTATGGAATGAGGTCTTCCTAGGCGACGTGCTGGTCTTGGTGATGCCGATCTAGGACGGGGGATAGGAAGAGGGCGGCTCAGTTCGAGGCCATCCCACGACGTTCGTGAGCTCGATCGGAGGTGGGAGGTATATGTTGACTGGAGGTGTGCTGGGAGCCTCGAGGTTTGTCGAGTGCCGATGTCAGTATATGACAAAGGCCTAGGCCTCGCTGGAATATCGGACGTGCTCCTTCGTATCTCTTGCATTATTGCAGATTACTACACCTTGAGGTACAGGACTCTTCAAAGTTTCTTTGAGGCATCCCGCAGTCGCGTCGATAAGGTTACATCTACATTCTCCACCAGAGAAAGCTTTCGGCAGCCCCTGTTCACCAAGAGTTTAAGCATGTACTGATCCTCGGCAATGTACGTAAGTTCTAGACCAGGGAGATCACAGCGCCCTGATGAAATGCTGGTGAGCATACAACCATGTGCACTCTTCAAGAGAGAGCACGTTGTAAGTAAACACCAGATGCAATTGGGGTAGATATCTGATGTCACAATGGCATTGACATATGACAGACGGACCGGGCCTGTGAGGGCGTTGGCAACCCACTGGACAGAGGAATGAAAGACCCCACCCATGTATTACATAATTGGGCAGCATGTGTATGTATGTGCTAGGCTGAGATTGCTGCACAAAAAGGAGTCGGCGACCAGAATGGACCCCAATGACTGCAAAGAGGAGTGCCGAGTGTGAGATAAAAAGATATTTTTGTTGACTTACAGATGAAAGGGACTTGAAATCCGGTTTGGCCCCTCAGCTTGTTTCAGCCACTGCGCGCGGGAGGATGGGGGAGGTGGCCCCGTCTGGGGAAGAGTGACACTAACGGTTTTTACCCAGGCACCGCGCCAGCTTTGTTAAACGCAGCCCATCTCGACGCATCTCGACAAACGCTGCGCTACATGCACACTTGCGGTGAGATGTCCGAGTCGGCCCTCAACCCGTAGAAAGCTTGTTGTCGGTTCGCATCTGTCTGGTGTGAGATGTCACTGGCGGATGTCGTAGCCCAGTGGTGGTGCATGTCAGCGGACGGAAACTCGGTGGAGCCCGAGGAGAAGTTCACGACCCTCAAATTTAGCGGTGGACCGATGACGTCGGATTCTTTGGGGGCCCAGAACCCCGCCCATCCATTTCATCATGCTGCCAGGGCATGGATGGGATAGGACATGACATGGGGGCAATGGGGCACGCACTGCGTCTCGCTCGGAAAGAAGTGGGTGTCGTTGGGCAGGCCCATCGTCGAGTCTTTTCAAAGTGTTTAATATCCTGGCTGAAAAGACCCTCACCTGTCCAAAGTTTCAGATCTCTCAGCACCTGCAACTCTCGTTCCCCTTACCCTTCCAGCTCCTCCATGTGCGTCTGTCCCAAGTCGGCGCAGCCACAACACCACACCACTTTTCCAGTCCGGCAAGCTCCGGTCTAGAGACGGCGCTCTTCCCGCTGCTCTCTTTTTGGCTTCCACATGCTCACGTTCTGAGCGCCGCTATATTTCTGGACTACACGGACTTCCGGACGTTCGAGCAAGTTTATTTCTTCAAATAGAGTCACGCCCCAGGCCTCCAACCGCACAAGAACAAGCTCTTCTCGAAACCATCAGTTCCTCGATTTGTGGAGAGTGATCAGTGATCAACAACCACCCCTTGCAGAGCCAAGCAAGTCTAGAATCTGTATGCCCCTTTGCCACCTCCCTCTCGACCATCTTCAGTAGTAAGTGGGCATCTCTCTCTCCCCCTTACACCACGACAGACGCAGAGAAGCGGGTGCGCTAACACCGTCTTGCAGCCAGTCGAACCTCGCGACGTCGCCGTCAAAACAGCTTCCCGACCTATTGGCAACCTGAGAGAGGGCAGGTTTGGGTCCTCATTGCACATTGGCTTCAGCAAGCAGCATCAAGGACGTGATCCCGGCCAGCTCACTTGCAGTACCTTCAAGCACAGAACAGATTTCGGATCAAGGGCCGGCCATCACCACCACCCGTTCCGGATGTCGACAAGACGACGTTAGCATCTGTCATCCCTCCACAGTAGCAAAGAGAATCACGAGAAGAAAATGTGCGGCACTTCGATATCCTACGCCTGCTCGACGACCTTGATCTCCAAGTCGATCACCTGCTCCTGCGACACCATCAAGGCTTACGGCAAAAGCACCTTGTTCTGCGGCACCTGCTCCAACCCCCGGTGCAGAGAGTTGAGGGGAGAGGTTGCCCAGGCTTCGACGCAGGTTTCAAGCTCTGCCTGAGTCTCTGGGGTGCCTTGTCCTGCGCTGCACTTCGACACGTTCGATCTCTGGACGCACTCGGTTGCCCACGCTCGCTACGTTTCATCATTTTTTGGCCTGCTTCCTTTGCCACTTATCCAGTCTTAATCACCTCACCACCACCCTTTCTATACTTTTCTTTTTCTTTTTTACTCTGTGCCCTTGTTTCTCAGTAACAAGCAGGCTTGCGCACGTCCTTCAGCATCTTTCTACCCCGGGAAATCCCCCATCTCCAGCGCCTCATCTACCAAGATCCGTCGCTGGGGCTTGTCCAGGAATCATTGCCCAGGCGACAAACGAGGGGAAGGAGTTATCAGACTGAGCCGCCTTCAGGACACCGACCAGAGCAGGGCATCTGGAGTTCCTGCACTCAAGGCCCTTTAGGAAAGGGGTTCTGTTGTCTTTTTCTTTTTCTCTTCTTCTTTTTGGGGCTTGTCATTGCATCATTTTGGGCGGCGCAGCGGGAAAACAAAGGGACATCTTGCATGTATATAGAAGCAGCATTGGGAGAAGCCCTTGTCGGTTTTGACGGTAAATAAGAGTCAATTCTTGAAGATGAGGTAGTGTTTCATTACTAGGCCATCACATCTCTCTAGATCCCTTCGGCTTCTTCCAGATTTCCTCCTGTGTCTTCGTCATCTTCCTCCAAATCCCGTTTGCCTGATTTGGTGCTTTTGTTGGATTGTCTCTTCCTCGGCTTCAACCACTCCTCCATGCCTGGTGGCCAGTAAACCCGATTATCGGGACCACCCATCCCAAACTCCAGCGCCGTAACCGTAACTTCAGAAACCTGAGCCGCCTCTGTCTTGATGGCATCTGATTCGGCGACGGCCATGTCGTCTGCTTCGGCCGGCTCCTCTTCATCGACCGCTCGCTTCCGCCTGACGTTGGCTCCTGTTTTGGACTTCTTACTCTTTGTTGCCGACGCAACCCGTGGGACAGGTCTTGGCTCGTCAAACCTCTCATGCGGAACCATGTCATTGATCTTTTCAAACCCTGGGAGCTTGAAGGTACGCATCAGTTCAAAGACGGCCTGCTCCTTATCCTTGGCTTCAATCATGAGGTCCATATCCGGCGGACAGGGCGGCAGCGTCATGACTCGTGGGCTGTGCTTGCGCCTGTCCCGTGGTGTAACGGCGCCCGGACATGGCTCGCTGTAGTGCATCTTTTGCGTGATTCCCTTGCGCCGCCAGGTTACTTTGATCCGTTCCATGATTTCTGGCTGCGAGATGTCCAGCGTCCCCTCTCGGCACTTTGAAGGGTCGAAGATGATGTTGTGGTGGTGGTAATCAAGTACGAGTGGAATGTTGAGTTCTTCGCAGACAGGCAGCAGGTCATGAACACTCCAAGAAACGTCGTCATTCTCAAGAACTAACCGATTCTTGATCGATGGGGAGAGCTGGGCATAGTTGGCACGGAATCGATCCAGAGTCGCGGCCTTGTCTCCATAAACCCCACCCATGTGAAGGATCATGACGGCGTCGCGATCTTGCTGTCCCGGCAGCCGCAGGAGGGATAGCATCTCGTCGTGATACGCAAGGTCTCGAACGGAAGCCTCGATGACTTCCTTGCGGGGAGATCCGAGCTGGGTAAACTAAAAGCACAAGAGTCCTTGTCAGCAACGACATCGAGACCACAGTGCTTCTTGCGCAAGGGATCATACCTGGCCGGGATGTGTCGTGAGACGGTGGCCGAGCTCGGCAGCCACTCTTCCTACCTCGGCCAAAATGTCTGATGCAAAGGGGGCCAGTTTGTACCCGTGTTCAGCATGACTGGCAAAGGGAAACATCTCGGAGCTGAGGCGCATAAACTTGATGCCGTACTTGTCGTTCCACCGTATCATTTTGACGATATCGGCTGCATTCTGAAGCCCAAGATTCTGCACAAAGCGGACCCCCAGTTCATGATCGACCGCCTTGGACTTGTCCGGCCTGTTCTTGGTTGCATGCTCGGGTTGGTCCGGGTCGGCGAGCGGATACCGGTGGTCGATGATGGACGCCATGCGACATGTGCGGGAACTGAAGACTGGCGGCTTGGCTGTTCGCAGGTAGGTGTTGAGACATGCCTAATGATACCATTAGATCCAATGCCATTCTTTGCCTCAGGTGACCACTATAGGACTGCTAACATAGCCGAGCCGGCCTCTCCAAGGCAGCGGAAGATAGTGACTGTTGACGGGAGGAGGTCGTGCGGCTCCACGTTCGACCGTGTCGAGTGCCTCTTCAGTAGCCACTGGTGCTTCGTCTTTCAGATCAAGGCCCTCGCCGCCAAACATACCTCTTTGGGCCCGGTCCTGACGGTCTGGCTGCTTCGACACACCAGGGTTCTGATGTCGCTGCTTCCAGCCGGCAGTGGCGACCTCGTCCGGCGGCTTGTACTCGTCCTCGTCGAGCGTCTCAGTGAGATGTGTTTCCTCCACCTTCAATTTCTGCCGTTTTGTCGCCCGCTGCAGCCGGCGCTCCATCCGAGCCAGACCTTCAATGGCAAACCTGAGCCCTTCTTTGCCCGAAGACTGAACATCCTCAGCTGTGGCCTCTGTGGCATTCCCCGAGTCGGCCCCCTTCCTGATGCCCAGTATCTTTCCCTGAATCTCGCGGGACTCATCCTCCTCGTCTGTCATCTTTTGGCTTTGGGCGAGATTGCGGTTCGAGCGGCGAAGAAGTACCTGGGGGCGGATGGGAGACTCGGGGTTGGACACCTGTTTGGACACGGATCCAGCTTTGCGGGCCATGGTGGTGAGCAGTGCCAGTGGTATGGGCAGATAGCCGGGTCGAGGTGTGAAGCAAAGTGAATGACGCGTTGAGGGGACAATGGCCTGCGGCAAACTTGGTGGACAAAGGTAGGGTGGCATGAAACGACGCGAGCAAGATCAGTTGCACAACAACACAGAGCTTCCGACCAGGTGGCTCCGCCTGGCTAAAATACCAGCTGCCGGCACCGTGTCCAATGAATAGTGTGGAATCTCGAGGGCCCGACGTAGCGTCATGGCCGGTGTCGATCAGTTCAGCAGCGCGGTGTACTGCCAGCTGCTCACCTCGGATGGCGGTGGTGTTAAGAAGACAGAGAGGTGGGTTATTGTACACTAAGTGAACATGAAAAAGTCCATCTGTATCACGGGTGATCAGCGATGCCGCAGCGATGCAGCCAGAAAATACGATTTGGTTGCGGGTTTCATGTGCTCTGGGATCGATGAGGTCATGTCCATTCCCGTGATGTGGGGTACTGAGCAGGGGTCGCATTGCCAGCGGGTGGTTTGCTCCTGCCTACATTGCACCAACTTGCCTCATCAAGTCCACCACTGTCTCTCGAAAAGCGCGATATGAGATGCCCAGCTCCCTCGCCGCTGTCTCGCCATCAATACCGTGGCTCTCGTCGACCACCTGCCTCTCCACCACTGGCGCTCCCTCTGGTATCACAAAATTGGGAAACTCGTGCTCGATGATCTCGACTGCCATTTCATACGTGAATCTCTCCCGGGAAGCAACCAGGTACCGTTTGCCCCCTGCTTCTGGCCGAAGGAGTGCTTCGACGTGCGCCTGCGCCAGATCCCTTACATCAACCCAGAATGGTACTCTCGCGACAGGAAGCTCTTTTCCTTGCTGGCTCGCAATCGCAACCTTCCACAGCTGGCTGTTGCTATCATTCAGCCCCAAAGGCCCGCCAACCACGGGATGAACCACAGGCCCAAACGTCATGGGGGGACACAAGGTGACCAAGTCAAAACTCAACCCACCCCCACGACACTCGAAATTATTCACAATTTCCCACGCCGCCAGTTCGGCAAACTTCTTGCTCCCTCGATATGCCACCACCGCGCTTGTCTTTTTATCGGCCGCTTCATCGTACGTAAGGGGGTTCCAGTCGTCCGCCGTGTAGGTAAAGTACTGAGACGCCTTCCGCGCCCTCTCAACATCAAGTACTGCAGCGAAGCTTGATGTGATCACCACCCGTTTCACCGTTTGTGCTTCCGCGGCCGCAGACAAGACAGCCTTGACCCCGTTGATGGCAGGTAGTATCAGCTCTGCCTCGTTATTTTGAGTGTCGTACGTGAAAGGGGAGGCCACATGAACGATGGCATCAATGCCACCTTTCAACGCTGAAGAAAGGTCCAGCTCTGGCCCTAAAAAGTCGTCAATGACGACACAGTCAAAGACGAGATGCCTGGGTGGCTCGAGGACGAGCTGCCAACATGGCCTCGCCTTTGGCTCTGGACCGAGTAGTTCCCCTTACCCTAAAGCCACGGGAAAGCAGCGTGTCCACAACATGCGCGCCGATGAAGCCGGTGGCGCCTGTAACGAGGATGTGGGTGCTAGAGATTCCAGTGGTTAGCTACTGGACATTGTAGAGTCAGGGCGCATGAACTGTATTCATAACTTACGGCCAAGCCATGATGATTATGCCTGTTTTGGTGCGAGTTATTTTAACGAGAGAGGGTTATGAGCCAAGTGAAAGTCGTTATCATTTGAGCCGGCTGAATCCATCGAATCCCAGTGCTACAGGAGCCGGAGCAACATCGCTCGGCTGAATTGGGGAGGAGCCTGCCAATTCTCGGCAGCGATGTGCATTTTACTTGATAGGTAATGTAGCAAGCGGAATTTGTTTCGGGAGTTCAAGCTTGGGGCCGCCAAACAAATTCTACAGAAGGTTTCTTTTAAAGATAAGTGTTGGTTGGTCAAACCTAGCAACCTTTGACCGGGAAGGAGACCAAGGAGGCCCGCCAGCAGTGGCAGGGCTAGCCTGGCGGGGGGAAAAAGATAATCATTAACTTGAATGAGATTTCATAGAGCTGATGAGGACTTAAAACGATCCGCCCAGGGGTCGAACCTGGAACCTCCTGATATATTGATTAGAAAATCGTAGTCAGACGCGCTGCCATTACGCCAGCGGACCCTGATGGTACTTGTTGAGAAACTACCATCGAAATCATTTGTTATGAAACCTACTACGATGAAGCCTCCTAAGCGTCAACCAACTACTAACAGAATGATTACATTATGGACATTTGATCACGGTACAAATCAAGTAAACCTGGCAACTAGACTTGGTATGCGAACCACCATGCTGACGTCTTCACAACATGCATCATTCATGAACTTTAGGACTGAGGGCAATGCTTGCAGATGGAACACGCACGACAGGTGAGAGCACAGTTCTCCTGCAACTCACTAGTTCATGTTTGATTTGATTAGCACATGGCGCAATATTAGCAAATGTATCCCTAGCTCTACCGCTCACCGAAACCGTTTTCGCCCCCGCCCTACCTTGTACACATTGACGCTGCCGCGGTCCCCAAAATGAAGCCAAGATAGCCACCAACTCCATACTCCCACCATCGCTCATTGTCCCTAAGACGCGCACACTTCTACATCTTAACCCGGAAGAGGTAACGGAGGCGGACTTGTGACACGTCGTAGGCAATGTATTCGTTATACAGCAAGCTGGCTCCTGCCACGCCGGTTTTCCCTGGCATCTTTGTGGACGTGTCGGGCTGTGCAATTGATAATGGTTAGCTAATAGACTTGACGGCCCGCTCTGTTGTTCACCGATACTCACCATCATAACACCCTTCAGAGAAGGTTCCACGCAGCTAGCATCTTTCCATGCCAGTGGACCGTTTGTTCCCTTGCCCCATGTGGAAATCATGCCCTTCTGCTTGGCCTCACTGGCGGCGTTGTAAGAAGAGTGCAGCAGCTCCTGCATGGGGTCACCCAGTTCAGCCTCGCACAGCAAAAGAAGAGCAGTATTGCCAGACTGATACGAGCAGCAGTAGTTTGCAGACTTGGAGGCCATGTCGGCAAGATAGATGCCCTTGTCGAACATGTAGCCGTTCACAGGTGCTTCTGGAGGAGCAATACGAAGACCTTGGCTGAGAATACCACCAAAGTTGGTTGCGCGAGAACCGTGCCACAGCAGACGCCTGTTTTGGTTGAGCTTGCCAAACACACTGGCGTCGAATCGATCCTTCTCGCCTTGGCGCTCGATACGGAAGATGTTTTCGACTTGGTAACTGTGATTGTGGGTGTGCCCACGTGTGTTGACCAGATAGTTTTTGAGCTCTGCAAACTCTTGAGTGGCGGGATCAAGGACGGTCATCTCCTTCATCTTCAGACCCTCGTACTGCTTGTCAAGGGGGTGGACATCGTAGTTGCCCACCTTGTCCAGCTTCATGATCTCGGCCGCATTCTTCATGTCGCTCAGGCTTTCCAGAAGTTCTATTTCCTTCTTGACCATTTGCTGAGTGTGAATGACGGGTGGACGGTTGCGACCAAAATTGTGCGGGATGAGCGAGTAGAACGTGTTGGACAGCTGTTCTACGGCATTTCCGTACGTCATGGAGTACTTGGACTGCGCCAGTGTGTTGTCGTCGAGGAGCTCTGACAGGTCTTTCAGTGACTGGAAACCGCGCGTGATGGTGGCCTTGCTGAGCTTGCCGAGCGGGAGCTTGTTTGCGTCGTAGTTGAGGTCCGACATTGTGTTGGCAAAGTACTGCTGGTTGAAGATGAGTTCCAGAAGATGCTGCACCGCAGGGTCTAGACTGCACTTTGGCGGCGTCCAGTCGTCGGCCTTGGTTTTGTCCTTGGACTCATCTTCTGCCGCATCTTCATCGTCGGAATCGTCCTCGTAGTTCCTCTCCACAAAAGCGTACTTGCCGGGCTTTGGGTTGTCGACCCGGTTGGCCCAAGCGATGCCCGATTTGTCTTTGAATTTCTTTTCGAACTGCTTCATGGCCTCTGCGAGCGAACCTGTGGCAGGAACCTGGGTTTGGCCGTGATCACCAACACGGCCCCAGCGAGTCCATGTCCTGTACACTCCTTGAGGATCCACCAAAAGCTAGATCGCATTCCTTGTCAGCAACTGGCTTCCTCTCTCTTCTGGAAACGTGTTCTGGAAAAACTGACCTGAATGCGGTAGAACTTGTTGTTGTTGTTGGAGGCGTTGGTTTGGTTCAACGAGGCATCGTAGATGACGCCGTCAGCATCAATGTACACGACCGAACTCGTAAAGGGACAGCCATCATCGATTGGAATCCGAGTGTCCTTTCGTTTCAAAACCTGACCCTCACCAAGTGCCTTCTCTTGCTTGGCCTTTTTCTGCTCTGGGGGAGCATCTTCGACTTTGACATCTCCATTTTCAACCTTGACATTACCGTCCTTGCTTTTCTTGGCCGGTGGTGCAACAGTTTCCGTGTCGGAGGTGCTGTCAACCGCAGCTCTCTTCCGCGATGTGCTGGTCTTGGTGGAAGCAGTGCCGCCCAACGTGAAGTCGTCTTCAGCCTGTTTGCTATTCTTTTGTTCAGAGAGGGACAGCCACTCAAAGCTGACAATGGGGATGCCTAGGGTCTGTGCTTTGGTGACTTTGGCTGAGGGCTTGTTGAAGTCGGCCTCGGTGGCCACGAGGTGTGTCGTGTCTTCGGTGACAGCGGTGCTGACAGTGGCACCCACAGCCTCTGCCTTGGCCTTGACAGCCGATTGTGTCATGCCCGCAAAGGTGCCGCTCAGGGCAATCTTGCAGCCATCGAGGGGAGGTTCTGCTGCGGCAGCGGCAGCCTTCTTGGCGCGTTTTGGCGGCATTCTGACGGGAGGGAGAGAGGTATGTAGATGGTGAAGGGTAATTAACGAATGAACAAACAGAGATGCCACACAATTCACAAAAGCCTGAAGGAAGCTGGAATCAGGTCTTGAGTTTGAATGCAATTATACTCGATCAACCTTCTCTCGTGGCTGCTTGTTTGATTGGCAGGCGCGACATGTCGAGCAGGCAACAGTGGCCCCTGCCAGGGGAAGAGCGCGAGATCACGGGACACTAAGCAGGCAGCTGGCCCAGCAGTCCCACAACGGCTTAGGCATCAGCCAGCCTTCATTTTATTTGTATTGTCCAGATATCTGCAGAGCTTCCTTCGATCACGATGGCTTCAATTCCAGCGTCCAGCAGATTGGATGCGAATGGTGTGCGCAGTGGGGTGTAGGAACAGTGCCCCGCAAGTCTCTCTCCGAGTCCCGGATACCTCACTTGATCATACCTAAGATACCCTACCTCACTTCCAACATGTGCTGGGTGTACCATGCCATCGACCATGAAGCAAGCTTGTTGATGGTAAGCTCAGATACATTTTTCAAGACTGAAGACGGGTGTGCCGGGACGGGATGCAATGGAAGACCGGAGCCAACTGCCGGATCATCTCACTCCGGAGTCTACGCCCATCCAGGATATACAGACGGGCCGACCGGCGGCTGGCAGGGCTCGGCACCCACACCAGAGCGCCCTGGCCGCCTCCCCTCCAATGGCCGGGAACAACCGGTGGGTGATATGGTTAGCGGTTCGGCTTCGGATCAAGAGGTGTCGCTGCGAGGGACAGTTCAAAAAAAAAACACAACGCAGGAGAGAACAAGCACGAAATGCCTGGGGTGATTTGGAGACCTGGCTTATTATTATCTTCCCGCTCAGCCAAACGCAAACCGCCCACCGAGGCCAATTCATTTGAGATAGACTGCGGGGCCAGTTATCCTCCCGGTCGCCGTCATCCACCATCACGGACTGCCCTGATGCTGCTTGGCTTAGACACCGAAGCTGCTGCCAATGAGCGCCTCACCCCGGACACAGCAAAAGCGCACCGCACACACGTGCATAACATGCCGTGCCCGCAAGGTCCGATGTGATGGTCGGAAGGGAACCTGTACCAACTGCGAGCGACTTGGTTTTGGTTGCTCCTATGACGAGCACATGGGCATGGAGGTAGTCCAGACCGATGCCGCCGTGTCTCGCATCGCGATACCTCGCCGCCGAGTTCGCCGCGCCTGCCAGAACTGCCATGAGAAGAAGGCCCGCTGCAGTGGTTCGACTCCGAGCTGTGACCGGTGCACCGCTCAAGGCCTCCATTGTGTCTATCTCCCTGGAAAGCGCTCACTTCCCCTGGCCAGCCCTGCCACAGCATCAGCAACATCCGCACCACCTGCGACGGCCCATCCGCCAGACTCACCATCCTATGATGACGGCCACTCGGGACGCAGCGCTTTTGCGAGCGGTACTGCAAGCCCTGCGCCGGCGTCTGCTGCGCGAGCCGAACCCGAGGAGGACCTCGTGCTGCGCGCTTTTGACGCCTTCTTTCGTCATGTACACCATATCCCCAAGTTCTCCTTCTTGCATCGGGCATCGCTGATGGAGCGTTACCACGCCGGGTCCCTCGACAGGTCTCTTGTGCTTGCTCTCATTGCCATCACCGCTTTGCTGACTGACCTGGGTCCGGGTATGGGCGAGTATGGAAGCCAGTGTATGGAGGAGGCCGTGTCACTGTGCTTGGCGGGAATGGAGAAACCATCGATTGTCCGTCTGCAGGCGCTGGTGATTGCCGTTGAACATCGCATCTTCTCGAGGAGGTTTTCGGGTGCTTTTATGCTGCATGCACTCGCCAGCCGCTTTGCCACGGCTCTTCGACTCAACTACGAAAACCCAGAGCTCTGTTTTTTGGCGCGGGAGTCTCGTCGTCGACTTATGTGGTCTCTGTACATGATCGATTCGTCCATCTCGGCAGGCCAGCGTGATGTTGCTTTGTGGCCCGATGCCGAGCGCCAAATCCACGTTCACCTGCCCTGCAACGAAAGGAACTTCGAGTTTGACCTTCCAGAAGCTACTGAGTCCCTGAGGCCGCCACCACCAGAGCCCGGCATGGGAACCGCGCCAATGCCGGATGCTCTCGGATTTATGGCCCTTCATGTGCGTATCCAGTGGATGCGTGCAAGGATATTGCAGTGTACCTCTCAGGCCGCCTCGTCGTGGTCTCAACAGGATCTGACCACTCTCCCATTGCGATGCGCCGAGCTGTTGGCCGAGCTGGAAGGCTTCGAGGAACGATTGCCGCCGTCGTTCAAATGGTCCGAGGGGAACCTGCGTCTGCGAACCTATTCACCAAGGCTGGGTATTTTTGTCATGACACACGTTTGGTGGCGACAGTGCCATCTCGATCTGTACCGCCTCTTTCTGGAAGGACTGCGCGAGGCGCTCCCTCGGCCGATGCTCCAGCAGCTGGATCCTAATCTTGTTGCCCGCAGCCGTCAGGGCTGCTATAATCACGCAAGGGCCATGGCTGACATGTTTGCGCAGCTCCTGACCCTGGGCAGCAGCGTCCCTGTCACTGACTTGGATCTGCCGGGCTGCGCTTATCAATGCACGAGGGCTCTGTATCATGGGCTTCAAACCGGTACAGGTGACTTAGCATTTACCCTAGAACGAGTTCAAGAGCTCTCTGCTGTTTGCTTAAGGGCCGCCCAGCAATCTACCACTGGGCCGGCCGCTGCGAGTATTGTAAGTGTTTGAACTCTAATCATCATGACTGAGGCGTCAGATGACTGACATGGCACCAGCAAGCGGATATCGAACGGATAATCACCCACGGTTTAAAGCTCCCTGAAGGCGCGCCCGATTCACCGGCTCATATCTCCAGTGACCCTGCGCCTGTCACCAAATCTGCCATCGACACCAGGATTGCTGGCCACGCACAGCTCACACCGGATCCAGCAGCCTCGTACACGTTCCAGCCATCTGTACCAGCTACATCGGCTCCATCAATAGCCTTGCCAAGCCTTGCCGTCACAGAACCACCAATACCGGCGCCTGTGGCACCTTCACACGCGAGCGGCGTGACAACGGGGAGTAATGCGTTTGAGGAGGTGTTGAGCGGTTTCACTTTTGGGCCAGAGCTGTACGGCATGGACTGGTCCACATTCCCGACTGGATGGCCCAACCAGCAGTTTACAGGGTCGAACATGTGAGTCTGAAGACTTTATAGATAATGTGACAGTGTGTGGTCTTGCCAGATGGGTCGTTTTTACTTTTATGGGGTGAGCCATGTTTACGCCATTCTGGGGGCTGATGTCGCCATTCTCCGCATCGTGGGGGTCAGGTCAACTGCATTCTCCCACGCCTCTGCAGTCTCTCTTAGGTAATTGATGCTGGTGCAGGCCATCAAGTCGTGCAGCAATATTTCTCGCCTCCCAGAGTTTAACATTCATGCTTTCGACGATCTTGTGGGGATATTGGCCCTTGGCCTTGAGGGGTCCTGTGGAAGCATTGTTAATATGAGAACGGGCTTGATTTGATCACCCTCCTGCCCGGTTGTCTTGCCGAAGTCTTCTACATCTAATTACGGTTGCTCTACCTACCTACACTGTCGTGCTTTGACTTGTACACCACCCAGATGTTGTTCGATTCTCAGACCTCTAGACAAAGCTGCCCAGGAGCCTGGGTGAGTTCTCCACGCCCCGTACACACACCGCAATGGCGCCTCTCCTCGCAAACAAGTCCCTGTCGGTGCTCAGTATGAGCCAACAAATGGCAAATCGATAACTGCACACGCATGTACCAAATTTGGCTCTACGTATAAAAGGAATTGGAATATCTTTGCCAATGGGTTCTACAAAACATGTACAAATCCTTCGTTCTTAACGAAGGAGGGGTGTCTCTTCACCTGGCTCACCCCCTTCTTCTCTCCTCCCGGGGCCGGCACCAACCGCCACAACCGTCACTCCGCTCCCAGAAGCGCCTGCAAGATTGAGTGTCGCTTCCCGATAGACCCATCCCAGGCAAACACCCGCGCCAGGGCCAAGTACTACCGAGGTGAACACCATCACAGCGGCCACCCTCCACCCGGCCTCGACCAAGATCCAGTACAGGACCGTCAACCCGACAAAAAAAGCGTCGATGGTAATGAACTTTAGCGTCGACCGCGTCATTTCTTTCCTATCGTCTGGCTGGGACAGGGTCCACAGCAAAAATATGTGGGAGGCGACCGAGCACAGGATGGGAAGAAGGTAGACTCGTACCATACCCAAAATGCTGGATTCGAGGTGCAGAGTTTCCTGCCAAGACTCGTTCAACTTGACCAGAGACAGTGTGGTGAGCTTGCGGGCCGACTGTCTAAGAAACGTTGTCCAAAGCGGGAACAACAGCCAGATGAGAACCGTCACCGGGCTTGTGTGGGCCAGCATCAGAATGGATGGCGCAACAAAGCCAAAGGCCACGGCAAAGGGGATGGCGATGGTCTCGGAGGTCTTGGTCAGGTGGCGCATGGCTTCACCAAATGTCGGATCGGCTGAGGGGACATCAGAAGTAGGAAGGTCCTGGCGACGGGACGTGATGATTTCGCGGCTGCGGTGGAAGAAGGCCGGGATGATGATGAGCTCCCAAACAAAGGCGCCACCGATGAGGTCGAAGATGAGCCACAAGCCAGTTGGGTAGGCGATCAAGATCGAAGGGGCATTGCATATCCTGGCTGCCTCGACAGTCGACACAGTGAGGAGGCCGGCGAGGAAGGAAAAGATGAGGGAGAGAATGGCCGAGCTGCGGAGAGAAGCCGCGGCTTCACCAAAGAAGGAGACAAGAAAGCAGGATGGAGTTCCGAGCAGAGGAATATGACTGAGCCACGGGATGCGGGAACGGGCATGGCATTGTGAGTAAAGCATATAGATGTTGGTATCCGAGTGTTGGAAGAGGACAACGGTGGTTGCTATGGCCAAGAGGATGGGCACAATAAGAAGGTAGCGGAGGGATAGGCTGTGGATGGGGTTGTGTCGTAGCTTGGCCCCTGGCGGGGATGACGACCGCGGGCTGTTCATTGTCAAGGCTTTTCTTGATACCAGGTTTTGTGTGCGTTCAGGCACCGAGCAAGTCCAGAGGAAAGCATGTTTGGATGAAGTCGCAGTCGCCGATCTCGTGATTGTTTTGCTTGGCGGAAGTTGCCGGCGGCAACTGCCATGCGCCCGTCAGCCTTCCGAGAGCGGGGCAGCCATCACGTGCGGCATTCTGTCATCCACCACTCGAGAAAAACACAGCATGGTCATCATGAGACACAATCGTGAGGTATGTTCATTATCAGACATTTTGTCGAGACTGGGTAACTAACTATATACAAGAACTACTCTTTCACATGTCTTTCTTGCCCTGTCTTCCACCCTTTCACATCTAGTTCAAAGAGGGAACAGCCCACGGGCTCCAGTTGTTGAGATTGAAGCTCGAGTGAGTCTGAGTGCTTCTGAAGATGTTGGTGTTGCCTCCGCTCCTCTTGAGTAAGAACTTTTCAATGAAGGCATTGAGCTCGCTGCCTTGCTGACTGGACGGGAAGCTGCAGTGGCTGTTGCCGCCGACCTGAGAGTAGCCAAAGTTGTCCAGCGCACCGAGAGCCTCCCACTGCTTCCGGGCAATTCCCATGCAGCCGTAGGTCGAGATCTTACCAAGCCATTCCATATCCACGTTCTCCATGACGTAGAGGGCGCGGGGGGCAATCAGACCAGCGAGCAAGTGGTGATCAAAAGGAAGTTGGTTAACGTTGTTGACGTAGCTGTTGAAGTTGGGCGAGAACCAGACGTTCTCCTGGACGATCTGGGTGGAATCCTGGACATTCTGCCCGTTGTTCTTCTGCCATGTGGCAATTCTCCAGCAGCCCGAGCCGCCAGCGCCTGATTCCTGGGGCAAGGTGAGGGCGATTCTGGGCTCGAGGGCACCGGCCACGATAGCACCCTTTCCGTTGCGCGAGCAGCCGGTGACACCGAGTCGGGTAGGGTCAATGCCAGTCTGAGCCTGGGTGAGCTCGAGCGCGTCGACAATGCGGGAGACACCCCAGGCCCATGCGGTGAGCGCACCGGCCGAGTGGCTGGACCCGTACAGGTCGTAGAACTTGCCACGGCCGCGGGAAGAGCCGCCCTGCTGCTGGGCAATGTCGTCGTTATTGAAGTTGATGGTGGCCACGCCAGCAGGGACAGGGAGGGACGCGCCAAAGGTGCCAAAGTTGATAATGGCCGGGTGCGGACCCGCCCCGGAAGGACGGTTGTTGATGGAGACGGTGAAGGAAATGGACTTGCCGCCCTCAGAGACCGAGATGGAAAGCGTGCTTCCTGAAAAGGAGGCCGTCACGCTGCTGGGCTTGGGGGGGAGAGTTCCGAGCTCATAGCGCTGGAGAAGCTCAGAGATTTCCCTCTGCCGGCAGGCCCAGTCCGCCTTGCTGGTGACCTTGTTTCCGTTGTGGAAGGTGAAGGGGTCGTTGAGCTGGTTGGCCACTGGCGTTCCTAGGCCCGACGGTGTGTTTGGGCAAGTACCGGGGTTCACGGGAGGATTTGTCACCACGGGACCCGACGGGGAGGTGGTGGAGGAAACAACAGATGTGACGAGTGTTGTTGTTGGTCTGGCAGTGGTGGTAGGCACCTGAGGCTGGGCCGTGGTAGGACCGCTGCCTGGAATGCATTGGTGATACCATTGGTTTTGGGGGTTGCACCACGCGCCGTCAACACAGAGTGTAGGGCCGCTCCAGCCGGAACCACCGCACTGTCCCCAGAGACTCTGGCGTTGCTGGGCCCTGACGCCGGCGGCGCCGAGGACGACCAGGAGGGAGGAAACAACTGTCTGCGAGACCATGGTGAAAGACAAAAGTTCGGAAAGAGTGATCGATTTTCCCTTCTCCTTGTCCGCTGTCAACAACCGGGTAGCATGAGTTGAACGCAGGTCATTGCCTCTTTATATTCTTGTTACTTGATGTCAGGAACCAAGGATTGGCAGCTCGAACCTCGTTGCCAAGTCACATGCTTCCCCATGTCTCCAGACATAAGTTTGGTTCTCGGCGGAGAACACCCCGTACCCATCCATCGAGCACACTCTTGGTGGCGTTCGTGAGGCTAGTCGCCATGCTTGCGAGCCCGTTAGCACGCCAAGGCGGTTGCATTTAGAAAGGCATATGGACGGTAAGCCTCATGGAATGTTCCTTTTAGACTATTAGCCTGAATCAGGCCGGTTGGAATGGGGTCCAGCTTACTTGAAATGGACTCCCCCATGGGGTAGTGTTCCCTGGTAGCCAGGCCAAGAGCCACCATGGACTATGGCTGAGTTACACGTGCCGTCAATCGTCATAATCCCAGGAAACTGTGATCGATAAAGACTTGTGCAATCTTTGTTGATTGTCTTTTAATGAGGGCAAACCTGGTAAGCGGTTGGTGTTGATATGCAGATGGCGTCAAGCCTGTTAGATCTTTTCAGATTTTGATATCTCCAGGTTCCGACTATCACTGGCTCTGTCCTTCATCTCGGGGATCTCGACCTACGCCGTGACATCTCTGTAGACTCTCTTGCTCGCGACTTCAGTCAAGGCTCTGAGGACGATGGGGCTTGGTTCTGTCGTTGTTCGTTCCGGATAAGGAAAGACTACATCAGGCGATGGGTCTCCAGCAACATGCCAGTGCAAAGGCCAGTCTCGTAGTATCTTTAGCGCCCGAGCCACATGGGTATTTAGCCGGAATCCAACTACCGGGTCCTTTTTGCAACCCGAACTGTCACATCGAGGGCTTGCCAAGGCTCGCTGGACTTCCTGTTCCAGGTCCGGAAAGCCTCCGAATTCTTGCCCATTTCGGTCCACGGCGTTGACAGGTGGAAAATTCTTCACTGCGAGGGCAAGATCGTTGCCTGTCCACGTGTTTTCGATGGGTGAATCTGTGTATGCATATAGAACGCGTGGAGTGCGTAGTACTACGGCTCTTGGAGGCTTGGTTGGAAGAGTCTAAGAAGAAGTCCAGAAGCTATGGCCCTCGGAGTATAACGTACCGCTCAAGGGCTGGGTACCTACATTGCATGGGAAGGACCGGTCTGTGCCTGATCTTTCAAAGGGCAGTGTTCGGTGGAATGAAAACACCACGTCAGGTCAAGACCAGAAGTCGACGGATGAGAGAGAACGCCCATCGAGATACAACACCAGCCAGAGAGTGATTTTAATATGTTACACAGGAAACCCTCCTTTGAATAAAATGAGGTATCTACCTATCTAGGTACCCTATGACAGCGGCAGGACGGCAAGTGGGTCACTGTGGCCATTCTCGGGTATGAGCCCATTAATGTCACCGTCGCCCCTCACTCGAGCCATCTAACCCCTCATTTCGGTTTTCATCTTGTTGCCCGTCACGTTCAACGCCCCAGCTGCCGCCGACTTGCACCTTGCACACCATACTTACGCGTAGCTCTGGTGAAAATGGCGTCGACTGCCACCCCTGTTGATCTCAACCTGCCCCCTGGCGCACCTCCTGGCGCGCCTCCTGGCTTCACTGATCACACATTCGTGTCTAAGAATGGTGTCAAGTTGTCTGTAAGGGTATGGCCAGCATATCCACCTGTTGAGGAGCCTGCTCCGTTTGTAATATGGTAATAGGTCAATCTTTGCATTTGAGAAGAGATGTAGATGGTCTTGCTAACATTGTCTTTCGGTCAGGACTCACGGAGGCGGTTGGTTGGGCGGTGCTCGTATGTGATTTGTGTCTACCTTCCTACATATCCCTTCAATCCCGTCAACTCCGACGTTTCCATCTTGGTTCTTGATGTTCTGACATGGAAAGCAAGACTTCGCCCCTCTGCCCTGGCTCAGTCCTGGATTTCGAGCCAGAGGTTACCACTTGGTCTCCCACAACTACCGATTAGCCCCGCAAGTCAGAATCGATGACCAGTTGTCCGACTGCCTGGAGTCTGTTTCTTGGCTTCGGTCAAATCTTCCTTCTCTTCTCGGCGAGGACAAAGTCGATGTGGACCGATACGTTCTTGTCGGTGAATCTGCCGGCGGCCACCTGGTCACGCTGATGGCCGCCCATCTATCTCCTCCTCCTAAAGCAGTGGTTGACGTCTATGGCTTGGTGGACTTTCTGTCCATCCCGCATTTTTGTGACAGCGTTCAATTCGAACCGTGGAAGCCTGACAACCCCGCACCATGGAAAGGAGAGTTCACTGACGCCGAGCTCGACGCTTTCCTCGAGGATAGAAACCCAGAGAATCTGTTGACAGATGCACTAGCCTGGAACGAGCAAGAGGTTCTCACGGAACAACAAATACAACAGTACTGGGCTACTGATTTCAAGTACAACAGACGCATCAGACTGCAGGCCGAGCTGCACATGAGAAGATCATTGAACTCTGACATGGAGGGACTGAGAAAGGGAGTGATGCATCGAGAGAAGTTCAAAACTCAAGAGGACTTTGTCGCATTTCTGGAAGACATGTCTCCGTACAGGGTGTTGATGAAGGATCAGAAACGAACATACCCGCCGACAGCGTTTATGCATGGGAGCGGGGATGAGGCCGTGCACATTGATCAGAGTTACCGGATGGCAGAGCTGTTGAAGAGCAGAGGGGTTCCTGTGCTGGAGTGTTACGAAGAAGGGGAGCCACATGTCTATGATCTCAAGTATATTGTGGGTATTCCGTCCTGCATGTGTCGCGCCGTCGTCCATGGAAACAATATTAACGTCATTATGGCAGAATCGCAGCATCAACGGCTGGGAAACGTACGTTCAACCCGTACTCGATTTTGTTGACAGCCATGTGGGCCATGAAAGCAAAGGCTAGCGTGGATAACGGCATAGCTGCGCAAACAGCAGAGACTCAGGATTCAAGTGCTATTGAGTGGAAACCACCTTTTGAGACTTGCACTTGATTGATAGCTAAGGTACCTAGAAATTGCAAGCCATATAAGTACCTATTCAATCTACAGTGTACGAGTATGCATTCAAGGGAATATGACACTCAACCCGGAATGGTTGATATCTTGTTCGCGAGAGCACAGACTCCTTTCCAAAACAATTAGCCCCTTTTACCCCTGAAAGCGTCACCCGTGCAACTTCTGCCAATCGACATAAAGAGACCCCCGAGAAGATGTAATGTCCCAACAAGGCCTTTTCGAGTTTAGGTAGATACATTGCCATCGCCCGAGTTTTCATCAGCCAGCACCGGATGTGTGCCGCCGGTGTGTCCCCCCAATACTGAAACACGAATTGCTTCGCCATTATTATAAGCCTTCCGGGCATATCTGTTCTCATGCATGTCGTTCCCAAAGCGGCACACACTCCAATTCCCCAAGCGACTGCACGGTGCACCTTAGCAGCGACACATTGTATGATCGACACTACTTCCGAACTGATCACAATTGGGCTCCCATCACAAGCATCCAACCTGCTTCAGTTGTTCAGATCATTTCTATTACTCAAAAGGCTTGCAATAATTCTACGCTTTCTTGGTCATTCAACATCCACACAGCTCCTCACGTCCAGACAGACATGGGTCTTCCAACAAAACGATCAACTCCACAGCCATATGAAGACTACAGCCAAGTCCTCAATTTTGTGATATGGGTACTCGCAGGCTACGCTACAATTTTCATCTTCCTCCGTCTCTGGGGGAAGTACTATCGTGGCCGACGTCTCTGGTGGGACGACTATCTGCTCATTTCATCCTGGCTCGCTCTCATCCTAGGCTGCATTTTCCAGACCGTCGACACCACATTGGGGTTTGGTCGATCTCAGCATGCCATTCCCCTTGAGAACATTGAGAACAGCAGGCTCTTGGCTACGATAGCTGGATTCTTCCTCATTCTGGCCGCAGCGTGGTCCAAGACGTCCTTTGGGCTCACTTTGGTCAGATTAACGAGAACAGACGGATTTCTCAAGAGGCTGGTGTGGTTTGCGATATGGACAACAAACATTTTTATAGCCGGGAGCTGTATCATACAGTGGGCACACTGTTGGCCTCTGGATCGGATCTGGAGACAGGAGGTGTCAGGGGGGAAATGCCTGCCACTGGGCCTTATGAATGGTTATAATATGTTTGTTGCCGGTAAGCTCTTGCATTTTGCAATTCGATAAGATCTGTCTAGGTCTTGATATTTACGAAAGATTGCCAGCCTACTCCGGTGCAGTCGATATCATGCTCGCCTTATTGCCATGCAAAATCTTTTGGCCCTTGATGATGAGGAGGAAGGAGAAGATCGGGATCACTATCGCGATGGGAATGGGGGTTTTGTGAGTGCCTGGGCATTTTCCTTTTCTATTCCAGGTGACTGACTTGCTAAAAGTGCCGGAATTGCGTCGTTTATGAAGATCTTCGCCATTCACAACGTGAACCATCCCCGTGCAGGACCAGGTAAAAGCAAACCCTGGTCCCCAGCTGAGAACAACGACCTAACTAGAGCTTCTGTAGAACATGTGGTGGTACTGATGACACTAGGCACAGCAGAAGGGGCCATCACCATTGTCGCAGTGTGCATGCCTGTCCTTCGAACTCTGCTGATGCAGGAAAGCAACCATTTGCTCAAGTCCAGCCTGCTGAACCATGTTCCCTAGGTAGCATGGCCGCTGCGGTGGTTGTTCTCGCCTCACTTCAAGCGCAACAACGCCTTGGCATTTCCATTCGCAATGCCCTTGAATTCCTTCTCGCTCACCAGTTTGCTCTTGCGCAGCTCTTCCATAAAGGCCTTGCCCGCAGCGTTGCTGCCAAACGGGTAGTCAACGGCATACATGACCCTCCTCACATCCGTCACAGCAAGCACCATCCTCATAGCGTCCAAATCCCACACGGCACTGATCGCCACCCATATATTGTTTCTCCATACATCTCTCAAGGACGTCGGCCTGCCTCTGCTCAACACCGCGTTTGACCTCCACAGATAGAATGGCACCATTTCTCCCATGTGACCGAGCACAATCTTCAGTTTTGGAAATCTCTCAAAGACGCCCCCAGTATAAAGTCTCAGAAACGAAAGTCCCGTTCTCGAGTGCCAGTCCCAGCTTGCCGTAGCCAATCCCGCCGAGGCCGCCACCGAATCCTCTTGGTAGTACAGTTCCCCAGGAGTAAACACCTCATCTAACGACGGGAAGGACGGATGCAGATATACCGGAACGTCCAGCTCCTGAACGGTCCGCCAGAACTCATCATATTCCCTTCCTTCATAAAACTGATACTTGTCGCCGGAAGGCTGAACAACATATGCGTCAATCAAGGCGCCAACAAAGCCATACTCCTGAACACATGTCCTCAGCTGGCTGGCCGCTTCAGCAGGAAGGGCCATGGGGAGCACGCAGAAGCCCCTGAAGTTGGCAGGGTAGGGCTTGATGCGGGAGAATAGCTGGCTGTTTGCCAAAGCTGTTGAGGTTGGGATTGTGCATCGGTTCCGGGCCCGAGGCAACGTGAGACACAACTTGCAGAGAGATGGAGTTGTTCTTCATGGATGCGAGACGAACTGGACCGACTTCTTGGAGACTGACCAGGGTTGCACTGAGAATAGGCGGGGGCAGCGGCGAGAGGACGGTAGGGAAGTAGGAGTAGAGAGCGGGAGAGGCCCAATGCTCCTCGAGTGTGATATAGCTGATCGATTCGGGCTTGTGGTCGGGCTTCGGGGTACTGGCCGCGAGAGCGGTAAAGCAGAGGGGAAGGACCCAGTGGGATCTCATATTGACAGTTGCCGGGTGGGTTTCTGCTGAGGCTTGGGTTCTCAGAAAATGCTCTCGCCCCCCAGGAGGAACTTCATTGCGCTTATGTAGAAGCCCCAAGAATGAGGCGTTTTGTCATGTCGATATTCGACGCTGGCTTGCAGCATCGTGCATCCAGGAACATGTTTATTGGGCCGGACAATATCTTATTGGATAGAAGTGTAAGCGAGGTTATCCTGAGTCAAAGCCATGACTCAGTGTTCCCAATCGCAGATTGAGTAACATTCGTATATCTTTAACTAAAATTGTTGGCGAGGTTCCCATCTCACCTCAAAAGGGTTCGATTTGATGAACGCCACGAGATACGAGGACGCAGAATGTATGCAAACATAGGGGGTTAAACCGGTCGGAATACCAACCAATCAGAAGGTGAGATGGCCGAGCGGTCCAAGGCGCCACGTTAAGGTCTTCCTTAATCAATATCCCCTAACCCAGGATTCCGTGGTCCGAAAGGGCGTGGGTTCGAATCCCACTCTCATCATCCAATTTTTGTAATTTATTTTTATTCTCATTTTCCACAGTTGTAGTCTCAACCAAGCTTCGACGAGACTTTGAAGCAAAATAGTGATACAAGATACTTTTTGTCTGACAGTCTCTAAAACAAAAGTTAGTGGACCTACACTGTTCAGAGTGCCCCGAGAGACATCCACGACGGAATCCAAAAACATCACTTTGCAGGGGCTGGTGAAAAGGCAGAAGAACATGGTGTGGGTGTCTTTGCCGCAACCGGCAATAAATAGTCTATCATTCAATATGCATCACTAGGCGATGCAGAGGGTTAATTGACCAGTATGAATTCCGTACTGTTGAAATTCATGATCAAGACCCAAAACTGTGTACATGCCTCCTCTCTCTGATAGCCCAACCCAACACCCCGACCCAGATATCGCTGCGGGAAAACCTGACCCAAGACAAGACAGAAAAGGAGATATTCTCGACTGCTTAAATGGTGTAGCGGAAAAAGCTAGCGTTGTCGCCCTTCTCCCTCTCGGCAACCCTTTCCTCCTCGGTGTACTCGCTTGGAGGCTTGTATTCGCGGTCACGGCGGGCGTTCTCCCGACGCAAGTAGATGGTCATGAAGATGGACAGAATGGCAGCCATGACCTGGCAGGCGAGAAGAGTGCCGAAGCCGGGGTAGTAGCGGGGGCGGTCCTTGGTCAAGAAGAGGTAGGCAGAAATGGTACCGCCCAAGTTGCCGAAGCCGACGTGCATGGCAATGCCGACACCGCGCTTGAGGGAACCGCCAATGTTGTTGCCGTTCCACGCGACACCCTGGGGGACGTTGGGGTAGATACCCGAGGCGAGGAGGAAGCAGCCAAGGTAGCGGACACCGGCATTCGGCGTCGCAATCAAGCAAATCAGTCCAACGATGCTGCAAGAATCACCATGTTAGAGCCATTCTCTCACTATTGAATGTCGGGACAGGAACGAGAACAAGGACTTACGCCATGATCATGAATCCAATCATGTAGATGCCGCGCTCACCACGCCTGTCAGCGTGCCAGCCGGCACCGATGCAGAACAAGCAGGCTACAATGTAGGGAGGAACAGTCATGAGCTGGGCCATCTCGGGGGAGGTGGCGGTGCCGAGATCGTTGATGATGGTGGGGAGGAAGATCTTGTTCTTTTATATACCATTGTAGATTCCATTGGTGATCGAATATGTGCACCCTGATCTTT